TCTGACATTTAAGTGGATGCCTTTTGCACCCCTGGGCTGGACTCCTTGTCCACCCTGACTGTGGGACAAGCACAGTCACTCTCAGCCAGAGCTTCCCCCAAGTCTTTAAGAAAGAAATGAGGAAGTTTAGAAACAGAGAATGCGGCTAGAGACCCCCCCAAACTCACCCCAGTGCAGACGGTCCTCCCAGGGCCTCCCCTCCCCTTCCCCCCTCTTGTTCCTGACCATCCTGGTCTCTCTGTGAGGAGTTTGGGGCACAGGCCGCCCCCAGCATTGACACTGTCTCCCCAGGGGTCTACGGTGACTCCCCAGCCGTGACCTGTGCTGCACCCTGGCCGCATGCATGGCCTTTGCCAGCAGACTAAAGTCTGAACCTCCTCTCCCCCTTCAGCGCCCTGCGGCCTTGGGCAAGTCGCTCTGGGTTTCTTCATCTGCAAACTAAAGTTGTTATTAAAAATATTTGCCCACCTCTCCGGTTCTCAGGAAGATCGATGAGATAAGGTGAATAACAAGACTACAAACAGTGAGGCACAGGGCAAATATTAGTCCTCCTGTCGTGCACCGGAAGGGTCTCGTCATGCCGGGGCACCACACGGAACCCGGTCACAGCCCCAGTCCGGCCACACAACCTGACTCGCGGCCACGTCCTGCCCTCTCGGGCCTCAGTTTCCTCGCTTGTAGATGGGAGGAGAAGAATAAGTCGCTGGACTGTGGGGAGATCGAACGTGTGGGCCCCTGAAATGTCTCCCAGTGCCGGCCCCTCTTAAGGGTGGCCCGTCTGGAGAGTCCCCGCACAGTGCCTTCACACCGGGACAGGGGGGAGCTGTGTTTCTTCGCTAGTTCCCCGTCTGCCTTTTCTCGGGGGGTTCTTGGGCTTTGTGGCAGCGGCCCGGGCGTTGAGCCCCCGCTCTGCTGTTCTTGCGGTGTGACCCCAGGCTCGAGACTGGCTTCTGAGCCTCGGCTGTGTGTAAAGAAACCTCTGTCCCCAGGGCCTGGCTCGGGGGTGCCCGGTGAGCGGCAGAGCTGTGGGAGCCACCACAAGGGAGAAGAGACGAGGAGGACAGGAGGGGAGGGAGCAGGGAGGAGAGTCTGGAGTGGTTCCTTCGAATGTCCGGGCATTTCCTGGGAGACGGGCACGGTGGTTTTCACGTGAGGGCAGAGGAGATCCATGTCAGTGCCAGGACCCTGAGAAGCACCCTGAGGTTACCCGAATTTCTCTTCTCCTGGTAATCCGCTCCGGAGCACCTGCAGGAGGTTTGGATGAGGTTGGGTAGGGGGCTGCCATACCAAGCGGGACAGACAGCTGGGTCTGAGCACCCCCTCCCCTCTCCCCGGCTCTTCCCTCAGCTGCACAGATTAGCTGCACTGATCACCTTGCAAGCCCCACATTGGCAGTGCCCGTGCACAGATGGGGAAACTGAGGCTCAGAAGGAAACCGTCTCTCCCAAGACACACTGCCCAGCCCCTTGCAATGCTCCTGTGCGATCAACCCTCCCGGTGGCTCCGAACTGAGGGGGTTCCCGGAACACCGGGTGGGGGGCGGGGAGGCTTTTAGTGCCAACCCTGGGAATGTCCCGATTTGCATAATCAGCTGGGGCCGGTATCCAGTAGAAACCTAATGAGAGCGGAATGTGTAACTGAACCTTCCAGTAGCCACGTCAAACACATGACAAGAAATGGGCGGCATTTGTTTAATAATACACCTCCTTTACCCCAAGATGTCCAAGATATGTTCATTTCCACACGAAATCCGTGCAAAAACTCCTAAGGGAACATGTTGCCTGCCTCCTTTCTCTCTTGTACTAACCCTTTGAAATCGAGTGAGTGTTTAACACAGATTCGCCAAATAAAATCCAGACTGCCCAGGTAATTTTGAATTTCAGATAAATACTGGAAGAAAACAATGATTTTTTGTATAAGTTTATCCCAAATATTGCAGGGGACACGTTCATACCAAAAGTGTATTTTTTGTGTATCTGAAATGCCAAGTCACCTGGGCGCCTGTACTTTCGTCGCCCACATCTGCCGCGTGCTTTTGCCACGTCTGAACTCAGAGGCTCACAGCTCCCTGAGCTCCTGGTGGGGAAGGGACAGGGCTGAGCTAGAGGGACTGGGGTGCCCGGGGGAGTCCAAGAGCACAGGTTCCCCCACAGTCAACCTGCAAAGGACCCATCTTGCTCCTTCCCTCTCTGGGGCCCCTTTTTAGCCATCACCACTTTGTCTGCCTGTGACATTGTCTTTGTTTTTGTCAAGATTTACTGGAAACAATTCAACACATTCCATTTCCCATAATCTGGCCAGTTAACAGGTGACAGGGAAGAAAGTCCACATCTCACCAACAGCCCCTGACTCAGCAAATTTTCAAAATCCGGAAACTGGGTTAGGGCCAGCAGGGGTGACGGGGCAGATCGGGGGGGAAGTACTGGCCAGACCCAGGAGAAGAGGGTCCCAGGAGCCCCCTCCTTAGGGGTTCTCCCCTCTGGACCTCCATTCCCAGGCCTCCCCAAGCCTCAGCCTCACCCTCCAGTGGGCGTCTCTGACTCTGGGATGTCTCTCTCTGCCTCAGTTTACCATCCAAAGCACTGGGGAGTTGCAGACCAGAGCCCTGGGATGGGGACGTGAAGCCAGAGAAGCAGCTGCTGGGAAGAGATGCAGCCTGCTCCAGAGGTAGGTCCCCGGAGCTGCACTCCCCACGGGCCCCCATGTGGTCAGAACCCCCAGCCTGGGCTGCGCAGAGGGCACAGGTTCAGTGTCAAAGGGCGCTGGTGACAAGGCCACAGTCGGAGCAGAGGCCGAGGGGTGCGCACAGCGCCCCCGCAGCAGAGCGGAGGCCCCGGCAGCGGGCTCCCCGCTACCGCCCGCCAACCCGCGCTGCAGGACCCCGGAGGAAGGGCCTGAGCTCCTCTCCCCTGGGTCCCACAGGCCTCCCACGAGGTGTGCCCGCCCGAGCTCACTGGGCTCTCACCCGCCACACCTGGCACAGGCCAGGTGCCGCCCAGCCTGGACCAATCGTGATTTGTGGGGCCCAGAGCAAAATGGAAATGTGGGACCACTCATTCAAAAACAGCTAAGAATTTTAAGGCGATAATAATAAGAGCCTGAGACCAAGTGCAGGGCCCTTTCGAGGGTGAAGGCCTGGATACCTGAACCCAAGGGTGCCTGACCTCTTCCCACAGCCCAGGACCACCCTTCGCACCCCAGCAGCTCATGCTGAGCCCACACCCTCTGTGCACGCCACAGCCACCCAGCTCCTCCCTGTGCCAGCACCTCACCGCCCCCACCCAGATCCCAGCAGGTCTCTGCATCCTCAGAGGTGCCCTACCCCTGTCCCCCAAAAAACCCTGCAGTCAGATCTGGTGGCCTGTGACCACAGTCCCAGGGCTGGGGGAGAGATATCACCTCTGACACAAAATGCAAGGGGCACCAAAGCACTCCAATCATCGAGGCACAGCGTATTCATGCAACATTTTTATTTTATTTATTTATTTATTTATTTTTTTATCCTCACCCGAGGATATTTTTCCATTTTTTGTACAGATAGAGTGGGAGGGGGAGAGAGGAAGGGAGAGAGAGAGAGAAACATCGACGTGAAGGGACACATCGAGTGGCTGCCACCCGCACAACCAACCAGGGCCGGGGACAAACTGCAACCGAAGTACGTGCCCTTAGCGGGAACCGAACCCGGGTCTCTCCGGACCGCAGGCCGATGCTCTAACCGCTGAGCCAAACTGGCCAGGGCGTATTCATGCAACATTTTTAAAAATCGAAAGTTATGCCCAAACCCAGGGTAAATAAAATAGCCGTTTTCGACAGCCATCACCAGCATTGTGACTTCTGCATCAGGCTTCATGTGGCTCGGCACAGCAGTTACAGACCCTAAATCTTTCTTTGCAGGACTTTAGTCTTTTGTTAAGGCTAGATGTTTTTGCACTGATTTTGATTTTCTTTTTAATTGCAAAAAGATATTTTCTTGATCTCTCCGTGTTTGGGGCACATCCCCCCCTAAGTTGTACATGCAAGGTGAGTGTTCCACTTGCCACCATGCGCCCCCATGCACCAGGCAGGCTGGCAGGGAGGTGCCCAGGGAAGACGACACACGGGAGAGTCCCGTGGATAATGATGAGGGTAACAGCTGAAACGCACACTGAGGTCCACGGGCCAAACACCGTCCCAATTCCCTCCCTCCCTCCCTCCCTTCCTTCCAAACGCCTACTGTGTGCTGAGCCTACTCAAGACCCAGGACAAGACAGACAGAGTTGCACTTCCCTACGCACCCAGAACCCACATCCTGGTTTGGGGAGAGAGCTGGTAAAATAAGTAAGAATCAGCGAAATGCAAGGTGCGCGCTGCTGCGTGCTAAGGGGAAAAAACCACGAATTGAAAAAGACAGAACGAGGGAGCAGGCTCCGTGTTTTAGGCAGGGTCACCCAGAATGGGGTCATTTAAATGCCACTCTCACCTCAAGTGGAACACTGTTACTTGACCCCATTTATCAGATGCGGAAACTGAGGCAGCATGCCCAGGAAGCGGCAGAGCCGGGTTCTCAGCCTGGGCAGCTTGGTGCCAGAGGGCGTTTTTGCGGGGTTGGGGGACAGAGTGGAGACACCAGTGGATCCAGGAGGAGTCAGGGGACGGAACTCTTTCTCCACTCAAAGGTGCCGCCTCTACATCGGGCACATCTGCCTCCTCCTCCCTAAGGGAAAAGGCCGCATTGGCTCAGTTAGGGGTCCCTGGTTCCTCCATTCACTGACTGAGCCCCAGGGTGGGGGCCAGCCTGGTCACCCCCAGTCCCTCTGCTATGCAGGCCGTCCTGTGGGGGACCCCTTTAAGGCCGGCCCTGGGGCAGGCAGGATGACTGCCAAGTTCATTTATCCAGGGGCCCCTGCTGACTCACGCTTATGAAAGTGATTTTCCTGGCCCCGCCCACCGCCTGCCTCTTCCCAACCCTTGAAATACCCTGGCCTGCCCTGGCCTTTCATAGCCTCTTGGATTCACAAGGGGTGATGGGCGTCCTCCTCGGCAGGCTCTTATAGTGTCTGCCCAGGCCAGGCTCACCGGTCTCCCTCGTCCCCTGCAGGTCAGGTGAGTGGGCTGGGCTAGGCATGGGGGGTGGGACACGGTGGCATATCCCGGGCAGCGGTGGCCAGCAGGGCCCTGGAGCCAGGCAAAGGAATTCCCAGGTGGTCCTGAGAGGAGGCCCACCTGGCTTCCCAGGCCGGTATGTCCCCCCCGCCCCACCAGGTTCCTCCTCCTGGCCATGCCCACCTCCAGGTGCCTGGCAACCTCAGCCATGCCACTGCCTGGCTGCCCGAAGTGGGGACACACCCCGGCCATGTGACACTGCTCTTGGCAGGAAGCACAGAGAGGTGTGGCCAGCCCCAGGCACGCTGCCCAGTGTCTGGAGGCTACTGGGTTTTGAAGCCAGGCTGGGTGCTTCCCCTGGGGTCCTGCCTCTCCTGGGGTCCCCCACCCCCACCCGGGTGCCCAAGCACGGCCCCCGGCTCCTCACAGAAGGCCAGGGTGCTGAGAGCAGGAAGTCTGGGGAATCTCAGAGCTCTCGGGGCTCCAGGTCGGGGCAGCTCAGTTGGCAGAGCACCTCTTCATTCTCCCCCTGCCACAGCCTGTCACTTTCTTGGTGGCACTGGGTTTGTCCTTGTGGGCTGGTCTCAGACATTCCTGGGCCACCTAGGCAAGCCACCTCCTCCTCCTGACCTCAGTCCTCCCTCTGGTTAAGAAAACCCACCTGGAGGAGTTGCTGTCGGGTGGAAGTCACAGGAGCAAAGGGCCACCAGAGGTGCCCAATACATGCAGCCATGCGGGTGTCCCAGAGACCTGGAGCAGTCTGAAGCTAAAAGTCCCAGTGCTACAAACATAAAAGAAACAGTATTTGAAAGTGCAACTGTTTCCATTTTTGTTTATGCTCATCTGCTTGTGTGAATTGGAATCCGTTTTTAATGTGAATGTTTTCTAGATAACGTTTGCCCTCTTCAACCAGAGGGGCTTAAACAAAAAGTTAACGTTAAAAACTGACTGCTCTTTCACAAAACTGAGAAGCATAAAAGAAGTGGAAACAGTGGAACTTCCAAATGAGCTGTGGGAAGTTGGCATCGTGCCTCCCTCCGAGGTTACGAGAGCGTTCTGCTGCCCGGGACTTTGAGCTGTTCACATCCCTGCACAGGAAGTGACCTCTCTAGTCAGCCTTGGGCGGTGACCTCATGTATGACATCCAGAAGCTTCTGGAAGTGAACACTGGACTGGGAGTCCTAGTGCTAAACGGGGCCCCTGCACCTCCTGTGCAGCATGATAAGGGGCCTTCAGTTCCTCACTGGGTGATCGGAGGGTTCAGAGAGACAAAAGGGGTGGCCTGGGGTGAGCGTGCCAGGGGATCTCAGAGCAGGTTGGCATACTCATTTGGGGAACATGGGTGTCTAGGTCTCAACTCCTGGGGATCAAACTCTAATTCCATCACCCACCAGCTCTGGGATCTAGGGGGCACCACCCCAAGCCTCAGTTTTCTTGTCTGTAAAGTGGGTCACCATGAGGATTGAAGGAGTTAATGCACAGAGAGCATTAAGCAAGGACATCACATGCACCCCTTTGCTGTTATTCCTGGGGACGGTGAAGACAAGGAGTGGGCACCCCACAGGCTGTTTTAAGGTCCCAGGAGAAAGTGAAAGAAAGAGCTTGGGGAAATACAGACCTGTTCTCCAGGCCACTGGGGGTTATTGAGAAACCCTCCCATCCCAGCTAAGAAGAGGGGCCCCTGCCTCGCCCCAGCACCAGCACTGGGGACAGAGCAGTGCGGTGAGCAAGGATGGGGGTGTGCTACACGTCCGGCGGGGCTGGGGAGGGCCTCTGGCAGGAGTGGTCACACTGCACTCTGGCGAAAGTGGACAAGCCAGGGTGAAACTCCTTGCACACCAGAAAGGGCTGTGAGAAAGCTTTGCTGGGCCTCAGTTTTCCCATCTGTGATATGGGAGTGATTGTAAGAGGACTTCTAACAACAGCCCCGTTAAATGAAGATTAAATTAGTTGATGTACACGAAGCGTTTACCGCCTACTTGGCACCTAGCTAACTCCATAGATGTATAGCAGTGTTAGCTTCTTGTTAGCATGAGTGGTAGTGGTACACCCCCAAATCCTCTCCTCGGGCCCACAGCACAGGCCCCTGCAGGGAACCAGGCACGGAGACCTTGCGTCCTGATGTCAGCTGGATGCCACCTTTTGTCTCCCTGGGGAGATGCTGGGGGACCGAGGCTCAGCCAGGCAGGAGAGGGAGGCTTCCCGGGCCCCAGACCCCAGTTGAGGAGAGGCACCTGGGTCTTACCTAGGGACAGGCCGAGGGGCATGGTCACAGGCAAAGCCTTGACACCAGCAGCCCTGGGTTTAAAATTCTGCTGCAGGACACTGAGCCCTCGTCTACACACCTGTTAAATGGGGCAGAGCTCTGATCAAACTGGCTGCATACGGTCAGTGTGAAGGGGACGTCAGAGAAAGCGTGTTCAGTACCCAGTAGGCAGCCAGTGCTAAACGTCCCCCCTTCTCACACACACATGGATGTCGCCTTGTGGCCCCAGGACGGCAGGGCTGCTGCACATGGGGGAGGTGGGTCTGGACCCTCTAGCACCTCAGCCCTAAGAACTGGGTTTGGGGCCCTGGTCGGTTGCTCAGTGGTTAGAGCATCGGCCCATGGATCAGTGAGTCACAGGTTTGATTCCTAGTCTAGCGCATGTACCCGGTTGCCGGTCGGCCCGGTGCTGGTCGGGTTGTGTGGGAGGCAACCAGTTGATGTGGCTCTATCACATCAGTGTTTCTCTCTCTCTCTCTCTCTCTCTCTCTCTCTCTCTCTTTCTCTCTCTCTTTGTCTCTGTCTCTGTCTCTTTCTCTCTCTCCCCTCCCACTATATCTAATGATAAATAGAAAAATATCCTTGGTGAGGAATAAAAAATAAAAAGAATTGGGTTTGGGTCCCTTTGTGTGATTTTTGTCTGTGGCCAACAGGGGGCGCTGATGCTCCAGAAATGAGCGGGTTTACAGGTTTTGGTTTTGGTTTTAGTTTTTTAAAAATCAAATTACTCCAGTCTTCCAAAATTCCCCCAAGTATGAGCTCAGGTCTTTCCCTAGTGGCAGATTTGGTACAAGCAGCTGCTTCACATACATGACCTCACTGTGTCCCCAACAGCCCTACATTATTCCCATTTTACAGATGAGGACAATGAGACCCAGGGAAGTCCAGAAATGGGCCCATGGTCACCAGCTAGGAAGAATCTCGCTAGGGCCAGGTGATGGCTCCAAAGTCCACCAGGATAAACCCAAGACCTGAGGGCGGGTTGCGGGCTGGGTTGCAGGCTGGGTTGCGGGCTGGGCACTATTTACCAGCACAGGCGTGCTGGGCAGGGCCTGCCCTCCAGGTTGGGCAGAGGAGGCCTCATGGAAGATAGATAATAGGCTTCAGGTATCGTTACTGCCCCACTGGTGAGATGGGGAGAGTGGATGGAGGCTCAGAGAGACAGAGGTGACCAGACTGGGGACCCTGCAGAACTGGGGGGGGGGGGACTGGAATGGAGCTGGTGAGGAAGCAAGAAGGGGGAGTGGCAGCCTTATAGGCCTCAGGGAGGACCTTGGACTTGACCCCGAGGGCCTCAGGAAGGCCTCCTATATGTGGGAAGGGACCACATGACACCCAAGTCTCACCCGTGTCCCTTCCTTCCCTGTGCCTCCAGGTCAGCGGCCAGCGCCAAGCTCCCCGCCAGCTGCAGCCATGAGCCACTGGAGGAAGGACCACTTCGGGGCCAGTAGCTCAGAGCCCCTCAAGGTCATCATCATTGGTGAGTGCTGCCCTGGGTAGGGGAGGGGCTGTGCTGAGCTCCCCAGGGTGCCCAGCGTCAGCGGTCAGGAGCCAGGCAGGGCCAGACCTGGCCTTGTTTGTTTTTGTTTTTCTTTTAATTATTATTATTTTGTTTTATGTTACATTGTTGTCTTTGAAACTGGCCACTGAGCATCCATGTGCCCAGTGCCATGCTTACAATGTGCGCAGTATCATTCCACGTCATCCTTCTAAGGACCTGCAGGGCGAGAGGGTGGGGCCTGTGCTGTCCCGGTACCTGGCACCGTGTGGGTACCGAGCGAAGGGGTGCACAGCTGAAGCATGTCTGAAAAACTGGAGGACGATGGCCCCTCCCCATGCAAACATCAGGGTGAACCACGTGAAACGTGTTCATCTTTGTAAGTCAGAACAGTTGGACATCAGCCATTTGACACGGTTCACCCTTTCCTAGTGCCCTACATGTGGGCACTATTCTAAATAGCGCAAGATCAAGAAAGAGGGGGAAAGATAAGAACAGAGTCCATGTCGTGAGGTCAATTGCCCAAGAGATGCCACAGATAGGCTGTGAGGTTCATTCAGACTTGAGGACAGGAGGCCCACAGGTGGCTTAGCCCCCCTCTCGGGCCCCTGGGGCTCACCCCCCAACCCCGGACACGTAGCAATCTGTACTAGTGTTTCACCATCTATCTGACCAACCAGACTGTCAACTCTGGAAGGACAGGGCTAGTTCTTAGTTAATCAGACTCTCCGTGGTGTTGCTGTGTGACCATAGGCAAGTTAACTAACATCTCTGTGCCCCAGCTTCCTTCAATGTAAAAGCAGGGAAAGAGGGGCATGTACCTCGCTGAAGCCATTGGGAGAGCTCAGTGGAATCATGCAGGTGCTTCAGGGCCCTGGTACAGTGGCTTCCGTCGGTTTATTACTATTTCATTATAAAAGCCCTTGACACACAGCTTGGCACAGTCGGCACTGAACAAATGCCAGCGGCTGTTCCCACAACTTGACTGTTGCTTGAGCAGTACAGCTGCTGACACCTAGTAGGCTCTCCGCCTTGTTCGTCACTTTGTCGGTGATTGTTCACACGCACGGTGCCTGGCACAGGCTTAGGGCTTAATAAATGTCTTATTGTTATGAATGAAGAGTAATTCAGTGAACAAGTCAGATCAAGACCAAAGCCCTAGGCAGCAGTGGTCTCCTCCACCCCAAAACTCTGCCCTCTGACCCCGCCCTCTCTCCCCAGGCAATGGTCCCTCCGGCATCTGTTTGTCCTACCTGCTCTCCGGCTACACCCCCTACGTGAAGCCCGGTGCTGTCCACCCACATCCCCTCCTGCAGAGGAAGCTCTTGGAGGCACCGGGGGTCTCCATCCTGGACCAGGTGGGCCAGAGCCCCAGCTCTCTTAGGGCAAAAACCAAAGTACGCATTTGTTAAACACAAGCCCAGACACAGAACCTGAGAGGCCACACAATCAGCCATGGAAACGGAAAGAGAAACCAGGGCTGTCTTCTGGGACCACAAAGACCACGTCAGCTTGGCTCACGTGCCCTAGATCACGGTCCAAAACTGGGGGGGGGGGGGCGATTTTACCCTCTAGGGGATGCTTGGCAATACCTGTGACAATGTCAGTTGTCACAACTGGAGGGATGCTACTACCACTTAGAGGGTGGAGGCCAGGGATGTGGAGGACAACGCAACCACAGAGAATGACCAGCCCAAATGTCAGCAGTGCCAGGGCTGACAAACCCCCCAGTTCTACTGCCTCCCGCCCAGCAGGGCTTACAGCCCCCTCCTTACTCCTTGCCCCCCTGGAGGCCACTCATTGTCCACGTCCCCCTTCCTAGCAGCATCCATTCTCCAGGTCACCAACCACCCCACCCACCACCCTCGAGTTGGTGGATGAGGAAGTACGCTGGCATTTGGTCTAGATCAGCATTTTTCAAAACGCTTTCCACAGGACACTAGTTTCTCAGTATAAAAAGCAGAGAAAACGTTCCTACTCCTGTATATCTGAGAGACACTGGATTTAGCAAAATTAAACAGGTAGAGGACAGCTGCAGGACTTGTCAGAGCCTTTCCTGTACCATTGTGTATTGTCTCCCGAGAGGCAGCATTTCCCAGCTTATCTGACCACCCTGATGCTAGGGTGGGAATTCAGAACTGGGCAGCTTCCTCGGGTGGCCCCTCTGACCTATGCCGCCCGCCTCTAGGACCTGGATTACCTGTCTGAAGGCCTTGAAGGCCGGTGCGAAAGCCCTGTGGCCCTGCTCTTCGATGCCCTCCTGCGCCCAGACACAGACTTCGGAGGAAACATAGAGTCGGTCCTGACCTGGAAGCTCCAGAAGGAGCGAGCCATCCCCCACGTGGTCCTGGGCCGGAACCTGCCTGGGGGAGCCTGGCATGTAAGTGGGACCGGGATGGGGGCGAGGGGATTTGGGCTGAATCTACATGAAGTCTTAGGGAGACTTCCTCCCTAACTCAGGGTTAGGACTGTTTCATTCCCCAGCTTTTCCTAGTTACCTCCCCTCCCTCCCCTCCCCCCTCCCCTCCTCCCCTCCTCCCTTCCCTCCCTTCCCTCCCCTCCTCCCCCCCCTCCCCTCCTCCCCTCCTCCCTCCCCTCCTCCCTTCCCTCCCCTCCTCCCCTTCTCCTCCCCTCCTCCCCTCTTCCCCTCCCTCCCCTCCCCTCCTCCCCTCCCTCCCATCATCACCTCCTCCCCTCCTCCCCTCCCTCCCCTCCTCCCCTCCTCCCTTCCCTCCCCTCCCTCCCCTCCTCCCGTCCTCCTCCCTTCCTCCCCTCTTCCCCTCCCTCCCCTCCCCTCCTCCCCTCCCTCCCATCATCACCTCCTCCCCTCCCTCTCCTCCTCCCTTCCCTCCCCTCCTCCCCTCCTCCCTTCCCTCCCCTCCTCCCCTCTTCCCCCCCTCCCCTCTTCCCCTCCCTCCCCTCCCCTCCTCCCCTCCCTCCCCTCCTCCCCTCCTCCCCTCCCCCCCTCTTCCCCTTCCTCTGTCCCTCCCTCCCCTCCCTCCCCTCCCCTCCTCCCCTCCCTCCCCTCCTCCCCTCCCTCCCCCCCCCCCTCTTCCCCTTCCTCTGTCCCTCCCCTTTCTCTGATTGAGCTCAGGCCTTCGGTGTCCTCCAGCCCAAGTGGGTTGGGGGCTAGCAGAGGCCTGGACCAAAGGATCCCTTTTCCACACAGTCCATTGAAGGCTCCATGGTGACCCTGAGCCAAGGCCAGTGGATGGGGCTCCCGGACCTGCAGGTCAAGGACTGGATGCGCAAGAAGAGAAGGTGAGGCAGCCTGGGGTGGGCAGGGGAGACCTAGGCCTGCCCCACGCTGAGCCCAGGAGCCTGAGGTGCAGGGCTTCCAGGATCATCTAGTCTACCTTCCCCTTCTCCCGGGGGGCAGGGATGGGGGGCCCTGAGGCTCCCACGGGAAAGGGGCTCGTGCCGGACCACACAGGAAGTGGTCAGCTGGGCTGGGTTCACCCCAGGCCTCCCTATCCAGCGTTCCCTCCCCCTCTCACATGACCCCTGCCTTGGCCCTCCCGCAGCATCCCAGCTCCAAGGAAGGGGTGACAGCCGTCCCCTGCCCCCACGCCCTGCCCGTGCTCCCTAGTCCCCTGGCCTCCCCGCTGCCCTCCCACAGTGCTGAGCCTGGCCTGGAACAGTCTCTTTCCTCTGGGTCAGCTAAAAGTGTGCACTTCCTTTATTACTGTTTTTTTTTTTTTTTTATGCTCTTGCATTAGAAACACAACCACACTACAGATCATTGAAAACTGAGACAGGAAAGACAGCTCACCCCAACCCCACACTTGTACCTACTGCTGTCACAGCTTGGGGTATTTTCTTCCTGTCTTATTTCCTGCTCCTTAAAGACTGCAGTGCACACAGACCACCCTGGAGAACCAGTCATCACTGAGCAAACGCGAGGCGTCGCGGCCCCGTGGTCCAGGGGATCAGCCCCGTTGCCCCCACCTGCAGGGCCTGTTATGGGGGAGACGTCACTCCCACCCAGAAGCACCCTGCCTCTCCAGGACTCTTTCTGTCTCTTTGACACTTTGTCCCTGCAGATTTGGTAGGAAAACATCTAACACACAGTGATGTGTTAACAGACAGGAACTTAGATTTCACTTGTTAGACATACCCTTTCCTATCCCACTTTTAAAATGTAACATTATATCATAGTGTTTCACAGCGATGACAGTCTTTGCAGCCATCCTTTTCATGGCCGCATAATATTCTCCAGCGGGTGGAAGCATCTCCACTGAATACTTCCTACATGCAGAGCCTTGTGCTTATATGTCGGAGCCAAAACCCAGACAGGTGCCCTTCCTGCTCCTGAGGTGCAGTAAATAGTCCCTGCCATTCCTGCGTGTGCTGGGGAGCATGTAGGCGCTTTACATGGGTTATCTGTAATCAACTTGTTTACTGAAACACGTCATACATACAGAAAAGTCCACACGTCACGTGTGCACAGGTGGATGGAATTTCTCAAAGTGGGTACACCTGCGTCCAGCCACCCAGACTCAAGAAATAGACCCCCTCTCCCCAGAAGCCCCTCAGGCCCCTCCCAACCCCCACCCCTCTCTCCTCCCCAGAGGCAAGCACTGTCTTGACCTCTGACTCCACAGACTGGTTTTGCGTATTTCCAGACTTTATAAGAACAGAATCCTACCATATCTATGTATGATATTCCTCAGTCCTTAGAGGTAATATGAATAGTGGCCAGTCCTGATCTATCATTTACTGCCTGTCAGGTTCTCTTCTACGCTCTTCATTATATCCTCATGGAATAGGCACTGTCACCATCGTCAGCCTCATTTTGCAGTGAGGAAACTGAGGCAGAGAGTTTGAGGAAACAGCTCACTAGTGGCAGAGTCAGCAGACGAACCCAGGCCATCTGCCTCTAGGGACCACACTCTCCCCCCCACCCTAGTACGAGACTCTTCTCGGCTCCATTACAGAAGAGGAGACCGAGCTCCAGAGAGGTTAAGCCACTTGGCCAAGTCGTAAGGCTGGTGGGTGGCACAGCCACCGTCGGCTCCAGGGCCTGATGCCAGCCTGGCCATTCCCTGTCTCACCTGATCCAGCCCCCCGACCCCAGTCCACTCTGTCACTCACCCTTCTGTGTCCTTTCCCCCAGAGGTCTTCGTAACAGCCGCGCCACGGCCGGGGACATCGCTCACTACTACAGGGACTACGTGAACAAGAAGGGCCTGGGCCACAACTTTGTGTCTGGCGCCGTGGTCACGGCTGTGAAGTGGGGGACACCCGAGCCCAGTGGTTCTGGTGCCCAAGACCCCAGTCCCCTCTTCCAGGTGAGCGGCTTCCTCACCGCCGAGGACCAGAGCCAGCAGCCCTTCTCCCTGTGTGCCCGCAACGTCGTCCTGGCCACGGGCACGTCAGACAGCCCGGCCCGGCTGGGCACCCCCGGGGAGGCCCTGCCCTTCGTGCACCATGAGCTGTCAGCCCTGGAGGTGGCCACAAGGGCAGGCACAGTGACTCCAGCCTCGGACCCCGTCCTCATCATCGGCGCAGGGCTGTCGGCAGCGGACGCGGTCCTCTACGCCCGCCACTACAACATCCCCGTGATCCACGCCTTCCGCCGGCCTGTGGACGACCCCCGCCTGGTCTTCAATCAGCTGCCCAAGATGCTGTACCCGGAGTACCACAAGGTGCACCAGATGATGCGGGAGCAGTCCATCCTGTCACCCAGCCCCTACGAGGGCTACCGCAGCCTCCCGGAGCACCAGCTGCTGCTCTTCAAGGAGGACCGCCAGGCTGTGTTCCAGGACCCCAAGGGGCTCCAGAAGGTCTTCGGCATCTCCCTGGTGCTGGTTCTCATTGGCTCCCACCCCAACCTCTCCTTCCTCCCTGGGGCAGGCGCCGACCTGGCTGTGGACCCTGACCAGCCACTGAGCGCCAAGAGGAACCCCATTGACGTGGACACCTTCACCTACCAGAGCACACAGCAGGAGGGCCTGTACGCCGTGGGGCCGCTGGCGGGGGACAACTTTGTGCGATTTGTGCAGGGTGGGGCCCTGGCCGTGGCTAGCTCCCTACTGAAAAAGGAGGCCAGGAAGCCGCCCTAGCACCTGGCCTGGCATCCTCACACCCAGGCCCTAAAGAGGAGGGGAGATCACCACAGCCCTGCTGGATCCAAGACACCCTAGTGAGGGAAGGGGGCCTCTCCCGGCAGGAGACAGGAGTGGCCATGAGCTCCTGCAACAGGCTTCTCAGATGAAGAGGAGTGGGGAACCCAGGCTGCCAGCACTCAGACCAGTGCTCAGGGTGGGAACAGTGGCCCAGACCTGTGATTTGGGGTGAAAGGTGCCAGTGTGAGCAAGGGCCATCAGGGCCAGCCGAGTGCTGAGCCGGGAGTCATCTAGGCCCGCCCCTTGCAGAACCAGGTTCCAAATAAAACCAGCACCTGCCTTTACTCATGTGTCTGAGACGTCTATGCTTGGAAGGGCTGGGTGCCCAGGACTAGCGGGAAGCAAAGGGCCATGTGGGAGGAGGTCCTTGGGCTGGGGTTTGGGAGACAAGGAACGGTGCCCAGGTGTGAAGGCAGTGTGTTAGAGAAGTGAGGGGAGGGGAGGTGTGAGGACTGGGGTGCTGGGGTTGCCTTTCAGCCCCATACTCACCATGCTTCCTTCACCTGCCACAGGGCCTTTGCACATGCAGGTCATGCAGGTCTCTAGCCCACTTTCCCCTCCTTTTTTTAAGCTTTCTCCTCTTCCCACTCTCTCAGCATAAGAATCACATCCTCTAGAAAGCATTTTCTGCTACAAACCCTTCCATGGGCACCAGAGCAAATGACCAGTTCGTGGTCCAAGGTGCCACCTCTTCATAGCAGTTCCATTTTATTTTATTTTATTTTTTTATCCTCACCCGAGGACATTTTTGCATTTATCTTCAGATAGAGCGGGAGGGAGAAAGAGAGAGAGAGAGAAACATTGATGTGAGAGGAGTGGCTGCCACCCACACCACCCTAACTGGGGCCGGGGACAAACTGCAACCGAGGTATGTGCCCGTACCGGAACCGAAGCCTGGACTCTCTGGTCTGCAGGTCAGCGCTCTAGCCGCTGAGCCAAACCGGCCAGGGCAGCAGTTCCGTTTTAATGGTTCATTTACTTGTGGACTCTGTCCAGCATCTGGCTCTGCCCACTCGGATGTAAGCTCCAGGAGGCAAGAACCCCCATTCGTTTTGTCCCTTATTGGGACCAGGCCTAGACCTGGCTTTGGAGCGTGACGGGAAGAAGGTGCCCTGGAGGGAAGGCTGGTTCGGGAGAGGAGGTCTGAGGGAGCCTCCCGCCCACAGGCGGGAAGGGTGGGTGCCCACTGGAGTTGTGGTGGAAGCCCGGCCAGTGGGCACCCATCGCGGGAGCTGGAGCCTGCAGAGGGCGCTGCGGGCTCGCCGGACACCGAGCTCCGGCCCCTGCGGCGGCGCCAAGGGCCAAGTAGGGGGACACTGGGGGGAGCGGGCAGCTGGAGACTTCCAGGGGAAAGCCCCCAGGACGCCTCCTCCCGCAGCCAGACCCCATCAACACCGCGCCTACTGGGCAGCCCCTTCCCGGGCCGGCGGTGTTCAGCCCCCAGATCAGCGTCCCGCAGGCAGCCCCGTGCCGCCGCGCCCGGCGGCCAGGGGAGGGGGGGCGGTGGACACGGGCACGTGGTTCGGGGTCCGGGCGGAGCGCACACCCCTCCCGCCTGGTCCCCCGGCGCCGGCCCGTCCCCGCGGTGGCCGAGGGAGGGAGGGAGGGGCGGCGCGGGCGGCGGAGCCGGGAGGGGGTCGCGCGGGGCGCGCCGCGGGCGGAGGGCGGGGGTCGGCGGGCTTCCGGGCGGCGGCGGCAGCGGCGGCGGCGGGCGCGGCGCGATGTGCGAGCGGGCGGCGCGCCTGTGCAGGGCCGGCGCGCACAGGCTGCTCCGGGAGCCGCCGCCGCAGGGCCGGGCGCTGGGCGGGCTGCTGCGCTGGGTGGGCGCCAGGATGGGCGAGCCCCGGGTGCCGCTGGTCCCCGACGCCCCCGACGCCCCCGCGGTGGACCCCAGCCCCTGCCCGGGCCCCGCCTCGCCGCGCGGGGGCACCGCTGTCATCCTGGACGTGAGTACGCGCGGGCCGGGACCCCAAGCCCCCTCCTCCCGCGGGGAGACCCCAAAGCCGCCCTCTGTCGTCGCCGCCGGGACCCGGGAGGCCCCTCTTCCCTGAGCAGGGGACTCCCCTCCCGGCCCATCCCCCTCGGCAGTTCGGGTTCCAGAGCAGGTCCGTCACCCGGCCCCTCTGCGTCCCAGAGCGCGAGACCCCAGCCTCTCCACGTTCCGATCAGTCTCGATTCCGGTCCAGTCCCCGGTCCCGTCTTGTCTCCGGACCAGGATGACCCCCCTTCCTTCGTCCCCTCCCTCAGCTTCTCCTGATTCCCACCTTCATGGAGCCGGGATCCTGGAGCCCCCTGGACCCGGCCACTCCCCATCCCACTTTTGTCTTGGCCAAATCCCCATCTTTTCCCAGCCCTGCACATCACCTTTCACCCCATTCCTTCCCAGGACGGGAGCCCCTGACTGCCCCCATCCCCCTTCTTCTTCCATCCTGGGTCCCTGCCTGAGTAGCTACTTTCCTGAGGCCACCTTTCTCCTCGCTAGAGCCCTTGTATTCTCATCCCCAAGGACCCCTTCACCTGCCGCTGCCGCTTTGAAAGCAAAGCCCACTCCCCACCTTTCTGGAGAGCTGGAGCCCCCGCCAGGAGCCCTGAGTCTGGACCCCTCTGAGCTCCCGGACCACCACCCTATGCCACTCTGAGTCCCCTCTGTCCATTCCTTCCACACCCCCTCCCTCTGCTCACCCCCCAACGTCCTCTCTGGAACCCAAACTGCCCACCTCTGCCCACCCCACCTGCCGCTCCCTAAGTGCCAGGGAGATTCTGTAGGGTGGGGGCCCGCAATGGGGGCTTGCCCCCTGGAGCCCTAGGAGAAGGTGGAGGGGCTTCTTCCTGCCCATCGCCTGCCCCCAGTGGGAGGTGCACGTCCGTGAGGGCCCCTGGCAAGGGGATGGAGTGTCTCACATGTGCATGGTGGGTTTCTGGGAGGGGTGTGGGGGTGGGGATGGGTTTCCTCTCTCGTTTCCTGGAACCCACAGCTGGCTCTGGGCAGAGGGCTGGGCAGGGTGGGGAAGGTGGTGCTTTGCTGGGAGTGCTTTTGATCCTGGTGCCCCCAAACACACACTCGCATATGCACAGCCTACCACACACTGGAGCCTCTCTCTCAAGACCCCAGCAGAGTTCCCGCTGAGCCTTGGGCCCGCCCTTGCAGGGAACCCTGTCTAGACCCCTCCTGATTCTCTCCTCTAACAGTACAGGAGGAGGGCTCCAGAGTCTTTAGGGTGCTGCATAAGGGCTCTGAGCCTCCATTTCCTCATCTGTGAAATGGGGTGATGCGCAGAGGTGGGGGCTCAGAGCTCACGCAGACTCCTGGAGCCACGTCACATGCTCATGTCATTCACTTAACACCAGGCCCAGAGCAGGCACCTGAGGGTGAGACCCCATCCTCACGGAACTTTGGCGTCAGGAACAGGATTGTGGGGTGCCCAGCTCCTCTTTCTGCCCCAGCCATGGTGGCTCCTGCCCAGCACCCTGGAATCAGGGTTCAGCTAAAGAAGGGGGTGATGTCTGAGAAGCCCTCGTGAGCTGCTGCTTCAGTTTGTCACGGCCCCGGGTGCCTGATAGCGGATGTCCCCCCATTGCTTGGGGGGGTTGGGGGTGGGGGCCTCTGTCCTTTATACCAGGGAAGGACCAAAGGTGAGCCGGTCAGAGGTGCTGGCGCCTCCCCCTCCTTCCATCAGCATGGCTTCTCTGTCCCCAAAATGCCAAGAGTTCTCTGATCTCCAAGTTCAGGCTGGGTTGGGGCTGGGGTGTGGGCTGTCCCCTCCTCATTCCTGCCTGAGGCAGCAACCGGTTTTCTGAGCTCCTGTCAGCCTGCTTCTACTCACTTCCCCACCAAAACAATCCCGCCCTGCCTATGGCTGGTCCATTGCCAAGCCTCGAGGTTCCCTTAGCAGACACCTCTGTTGGGACTTAACCCATCCTCCCTGAAAGGGTTGTGAAGATGTAAGGCCTGTGGCTGTGTCCATGGGCCACAAATTCTGAGTGTGCAGCTAAGCCTGCGACAGTGGGTGAAGGCATGTGGACTGATGGGTGTGTGAGTGCACCCCCAAGCATGTGGACAGTGTGAGCCAGAGTGTCCACACGGGTGTGCATGTGTCTGTCAGCGTGGCTGTGGGCAGGCTGGCGGCACAGAAGGGAGAGTGGGCGGCTGCTTCCGCTAGGGTGGCTTGGAGGGCCCCTGCCTGCAACATCCCTTCCCTGCTCTGGATCCCAGCCGGGGGTCACCTCCCCGGGGAGGGAGAAAGTGGGGGCTCAGCTCCCAGACCCCCTGGGGAGGAGTGGGGTATCTGTACCAGGTCAGGAGCCGCTGGAGGGCGTCTGCTCCTCTGGCCCAGTGCTGACTCAACCAACCTCTCTTCCCTGCAGATTTTCCGGCGCGCAGACAAAAACGGTGAGTTTCCCTCCCATGCCGGCCTCTGAATGAGGACCTGGCTCTTTCTACCCTGACCCTTCAGGGGAAAGGATCAGGGCTAGAGACTGGACAACCTTGAGCCTAACAGTTGAGTGCAGGTCTCTGGAGTCTGAAGGCAAAATCCTGGCTCTGTTCTGTGCCTCAATTTCCCCTCCGTACGTGGGACCCCCATAGTTCCTCCATATCGGAGACGCCATGAGGATTCTGAGAGGTGATGGCTGTGATGCCCAGATGTCTTGCTCATGGCAAATCCTTGGTGTGCTTTAACCCTGATGCAGCCGGCTGGCCCAGGCGCCCAGGTGGGGACCACCCTTTAAGGAAGCCCCCAGACTCACTCCAGGCCCTTCCCACCCCTGGCACCCGTCCTCCTCACAGCGACCTGATGCAGGTGCTGCTGCAGCTGTCCTGTCCACTCTATAGTGGCCCAGAGAGGTTGTGATGTGGCCCCCTGGCCCTCTCCCCCACATCACAGTGCCTCCCCAACAACGTGAGCAGCACGCTGCTTTGCCTACAATGCACGACTCCACTCCTGTCTGGAAAGGCTCCGCCCTGCACTAGGATCACCAGGTTTACCAAGGCCCGACTGAGCCTCCAGGTGTCACAGAGAGCGTACCACTTCCTGTTGATGATGTAGTCATGATTCTCGGGCCCAGTGCGATTCTGCATGGCTCTTCAACCAAGGCAGAGCCCCTCTCCAAGCCTCAGTTTCTCCATCCGTGAAGTGGGGTGATAACACTTAGCCTGTACTTCCCTAGGCTCTTGGGAAATTACAGGGAGGAGAAAAGGGAAAGATGTTTTTAGGGAAAATTAACCAGGGCCCTGTATTTATTTGCTCATTTAGTGAAAACATGCTGGTGGAGTATCAAAGTCTGTGCTGGGGCAAAAGTAGGGAAGAGATGGTGCCAAGCCCTCTGGGCCCCGAAGCATCTCCCCTTCGTAGGCTGGAGTTCAAGGTAGCAGCTCCAGCCTGGGCCCCAGCACCCCCTTTCTCCCGGTCCCTGGGACTTACTGTTGACCTGCACCCCCCCCCCAATGGTGTTGGATGGTGGGCCATGAGGCCTTGGGGGATGGGAGGTGGTGTACAGGCCTGGGCTGGAAGTAGTGCCCAGGGGTCTCCCCTCTGGACCCCCATCTCTGGGAATGATGCCCCCTCCCAGGCCTCTTGGGAAAAAGAACCATCAGAGCAATTCCATGTGGAGCAAGGAGAAAGGAAAGGGATGGGGGAGACCTCAGTCGGGCTCAAGAAACGGTGGTGGCATCAGAAAGGATTGTGGTATCACGGCCTGAACAGTATGAGAGATCAGAGGAGGGGGTTGAGGGACTTTGTCCCTGTCGTGGGCCTGGCGCCCAGCACACAGTAGGTGCTTCTGGGTGATGGATTAATTCACGGATGAGAGTGTGGCTGTGTAGCCCTGGGGTGCAGCAGTGTGTCTGCGTACGGTCTGCGTATGTCCGCCCAGGTGGATGTGGGTGGGTGGGTGCGTGCGTGTGTGGTGGGTGCGTGCGTGCGTGGTGGGTGGGTACGTGCGTGCTGGGTGCGTGCGTGCTGGGTGCGTGCGTGCGTGCTGGGTGGGTACGTGAGTGGTGGGTGCGTGCATGGTGGGTGCGTGCGTGCGTGCGTGCGTGGTGAGTGGTACCCCCGTGTCCATTCAGGCACAGATGGGTTTCGTCTTCATTACTTGTTCCCAGTCAGAGGCCATGGTTCATCCCCGTGAGCCCAGTTGCGGGACCCCCAACTTCACTCCTGCAGTCCCCACAGAGGCCCAGCCTGCTCCTCCTCCTGGGGCCTCAAGTCTTTCCAGCCACTGCCCAGTGGCCATGGGGGGTTGTCATCAGGGTCCCTGTGTGCAGGTGGGGCCCATGGGAGGGAGGCGGGCCCCTCCTCTGTCACAGAGGCTGCCTCACTTCAAGCCCTGGCTCAGCCACTTCCCAGTTTTGTGACTTCAAGCCTGTCCCCAAACTTGGGGCCTCGGCTTCCCCATCTGTAAGTGGGGATGGTGAAACTAGCACCCAGCTCCGAGGGCTGTGGAGAGTGGAGGAATCAGTGAGCCCTGCACCAGCCGAGAGTATCGAGCACCCTGGAAAATGGCCTTGGTTTGTCAGCAGCGGTTTGTTCCTTGCCCTGTGCCCCACAGGGTGTCCGCTGGCCGGTGCAGGCTGCCGGGGCCATTGAGCGTCTAGGTGCCAAGACTTCCATGGACCTTCTCATTTGGTCTTCACTCTGCTCTTACCGGGATAGGAAGCACCATCCCCCTTACTACAGACGACAGTGGCAAGGCTTGGAGAGGGCGAGTGACAGACTGCAGGTCCTCAGCTGGGGAGGGGCAGATGGGCTCAGACTCAGCTCAGCACAGTGTGGCGGGGACGGGAGTAGGGCGCGCATAAGGGTGAGTGTGGGTGTACATGTGGATGGAGACACACAAAGGTACATGTACACACTGGTTGAACACAAGCAGATGCTGGCCCTCCCCTGGCCTACCCGGGAGGAAGATGCCTGGGGGGCGGAAGATAGGGGTGTGATCTCAAGCTGGGCCCTGGGCTGAGGGTTGGAAGGGAATAGACCCTCAGGATTATAGGAGCTCAGGCTCTGCCTGGCCCATCCTGGTGGCTCGCAGGACAGAGACTTCTTCACAGAGATAGAGGCGGGGCAGGGGTCCTGAGGGGCAGCCTGGGGTATGCAACCTGGAGAGCGGAGGGCATGGTGCCTGACTGCATTTCTCTGCAGGGATGCAGACTTCTGGCATTTGAAAGGTCACTGTGACTAGAGGCTGAGCTCATGCTAATTAGGGAAGACACCTGCAAATGGCCCACGGGGGTAGAGGTACCAGGCCAGCTGGTCTAATTGGGCAGGGGCCTGGGTAGGAGAGGTCACTTCCCTCATTAGCTGGTCTGAGTTCATTAGGGCTGTGGTGGGACATTCAAGGTAAATGTCAGCTGGGAGGGCTTTGGCTCAGGAGGCCCCGCAGACCTTTCCCTGCCTGCTGTCCTGAGTGCAGACTGGACAGAGGTACCAGGCAGGCAGGACGACAGGAGGGCAGGGAGACCCCCAGCCATGCCCATGGCAGTCATGACGAATCAGTCACCGCACACTTCCACTGAGTGGGACTTGGCCTCCGCATGTCCATGGCACCCTATGGCTGGAAGACCCCGCCCCGCATGGGGTTGAAAGGATGGACTTGGGAGCTGGTTGGCCTGGGTTCGAGCTCCAGCTGTCGGGCCTGAGCAGGTCCCTGAACTGCTCTGTGGCTGGGTTTGCAGCTCTGTAAAATGGGGGTGGTGAAGACTGAGTGGGCGAATATGCAGTAAGAGCCCCGAGTCTGCCCTGATGCTGCACCTTGGTTCCTGGTTTATCACCAGGCTTGTCACACGGAGCTTGGGGATTCTCTCGCGCAGATGACAAAGAGCCACAGCTTAGAGCACGTATTTCACAGCTGGTGTCACTACTCTTCATGGTTGGTTTCTGGGTCTTCTGTGTGGGTGGACTGGGGGACTCTTATTTTTTGAAAGTTACAAACTCATTCTCCCCCTTTGCCATTGCAACCTGAGGGGGTGGTGGAGGCGTCCTGGGACCCTGCCCCAGGCCTCCGCAGTGCGCACACTCCCAGGTTAGTTATCTTCTCCCAGCCCCGCACTTTGACAGACTTTGACAGGCGGAGGGAAGTCACGCTGGTGTGAGGGTCTCCCTTTCCTGAGCTTGTCTTTTACCCACACAGAGCTGCTGGGAGCAGAGATAGAAGCTCCAGAGCCTTTATAATGTAAGAACGACTTTGCTCTGGGTTCAAGTAGGCAGGCTGTGCCCTGCACTAGGGCACCTACCGGATGGCATCGAGGGCTTCAGATCCAGCCTGCACACCGCTCAAAACCCATGTGCCCTGATGCTGGGCTACTTGCCCCCACCTCCAACCAGGAAAGGGCATCTCCTTCTAATCCACACAGGTGCCATGAGGGCCTGCTGGGGCTTTGATTGCAGACTGGCTGGCAGTCGGGGAAGGAGGCTCTGCACAGAGAGGCTGGGGGCTGGGGAGTCTCCTGGGCCTGCCATTCTCTGACCTCCGCTGCCTCCCACAGACATGGCTCCTTTAAGAAGGAACAGGAAACGCTCTAAGATCATTGGGGAGGGGGTGGTGGCTGCAAGGAGGTGGAGCTCAGCTGGCAGGAGTTTGCTCGGCAGGTGCGCCCAGGTGGGAGGAGCTGAGGGTGGAAACTTGAGGACTTTCTGCCCTCACTGGTGTTCTGCTGTGGGCCCCTCCCTCAGTGGTCCCTCTGCCCCCAACCCATGAGCGCTTCCCTCCAGATGCTGGAGCCAGGGTGACTGCCAGTGCATGGAGGGGAGGCGGAGGGGTGGGAGGTGCCTGCATCATGCATCGCAGGCAGTGGTGCCTCTGACAGCGCCCCCCTCCCCATTCCGGAGCCACAGCCCCCAGCCCCAGGAGGGTGGGCCATGGCTTGGCATCTTTAAGGCTGCGTCTCCAGCCTGTTGGCAACTGTCACATCAGACCATTCAGAGGTTTGGGCCTGAAGTTTGCCTAGTGGTTGGGGCTCCCTGAATCAGGCTGTGGGCGCTGGTGTTGGAGATCATTTAGGGTGGGGAGATTATCTGGGTATTTGGAAGGGAGAGAGAGAGGGGTCATAGACTGGCCAGCTCCGGACCTACCTCGTGCAGGTGTGCTGCTACTGCAGCTGGTGCCTTCCAGCAGGTGGCTCAGGTGAGAGGGGCCGGCCTGGCAGGGAGCAGGCACTCCTTTGTGGGGTTCCTGCAGCGTGCACCCCGCCCCGGCAGACTAGCTACTTGTGTGTGTTAGTTTGAGGAGGATCTCTAAATAGGCGCTGGTCTGTGGGAGTCAGTAATTCTCTGATCTGGAGTTTACTGGTTAATTTGGGAATTCGCTGGGTGGGCAGGGATTCGCTGACGGGGATTTACTGTTAGTTTGGGAATTGTCCGGATTTGGGGCTGTCCTGTGGCTCAGACACCAGCTGCTCTCCTCCTCCTTCCCGACTTTGCAGATGATGGGAAGTTGTCCTTGGAGGAATTCCAGCTCTTCTTTGCAGATGGCGTCCTCAACGAGACAGAGCTGGAGGGTCTCTTCCACACGATCGACTCTGACAACACCAAGTGAGCTGAGTCCTGGTTGCCGCCCCGTGGGTGTGGGAGGGGGCACCTTCCTGCTCCCCCAGGGGCCAGTCTCCATTGTGAGTGCCCCTGGAGGGCAGGGGCCCTGCAGTCCTCCGACTCATTAATCCACACGTCGGAGGCCCCACTGGCTGGGGTGACTCCAGCAGTGGGCGGATTGCTGTTGCCTGGGCAAGCTGGCCTTTTCTGAGCACACACGGCCAAGCAGAGACCCCAGATTCTGCAGAATATACGCTGGATGATGAAGGGAAGTTGGTGGTCACAGCACCTTTCTGCCAGCCCAGCCCAGTTCTGACCCAGGGCTTCTTCCCTGACCCAACACCAACGCCATCATCTGGATCTTACCGGATCCCATCTGAAACCAAACTCGGACCAAACGTTAATCCTAATTCTATCTCTTTCCTTTAATTGTGGTTTCTTCTCAATAGCATTTTGCATTGGTTTCAGGTGTCCAGCGTAGTGGTTAGACAATCATATGCCTGGCAAAGTGTTTGCCCCGATATTCCCAGTACCCACCTGGCATAATACATAGTTATCACAGTATGATTGACTGGATTCTCTGTGCTTCAGCTTCCGGTAACCCCACTTCTTAACTTGAACCCTGCTTCTGACTCTACCTAATTAAACCTTTTGTTCAATTCCATCACAGCCCTAACCCACATCTCAGAATCAACCAAAAACTCTTGCTTCAACCCATCCCTAAATCAAGAGCAAATCCTGCTTACCTGGTACTGCCCCAACCTTAATTCTGCCTTCTCCCTTCCCTTGGGGTTCCCCAAGCAGGATGAGCCCCATTCTCCGCCTCATACCTGGTCACCTTCAGCGAGCCCACTCCAGGGATGAGGACCAGAATTCCTGGGGGGCTGCCGGGGGCAGATTTGATAAGTCAAGGTCCCCTGAGACAGGCTAGAGACGGTTGGAATAAGGCGCTGCCCCCAGCCCATCTGCAAGGCGCCCAGCGCTGTGGTGGCCTGGACCAGAGGTTGGGGCTGAGGGTGTCCTGGAGGCGAGGCCGGCAGAGCGGCTGTCGGGGTTCGAGGAAGGCCGCTGGACAGAATCAGCTTCCTAGTGGAGACTCCAGGGAAGGCTTTGTGTCTGGGTCCGGGAGCAGCCTCTGGGGGCTGTGACCTGGCTGAGGCCCATGGATTATCCCTTCTCGTTTGGTGCCTTTTGTGTTGGGCCAGCTGGGTGGGGGGAGAAGGAGGCGCAGGTTTGAGAATGTAACATGAGACTATGTGAGTAGGGTGTGGGGAGGTGTTACCCTTGTAGAAGGTCAAAGCTCTCAGGACCTTTAGGAGTATTTCTGCAACATTCCCCGGAGTGGGAGCTGTAGACATGCGCTCCTGGGGATGCGGAATAGGCTCTCTGTCCAAAACATTCACCCGGCCAGAAGGGTTGGTAAGGCTGCTTTGAGCACAGTTAAACAGGCTTCTTTTCTACAGGACTTGTCAGAACTTATACTGTGACATGCAAATGAGGGGAACCTCCAGGACAGCTCGCAAAGCCTCTGAACCCCGATTTAATTGGCCACAGGAGCCTTTTTCCAGAGCATGTGGTTGGACCTGGGTTGGGCAGAGTCCACTATTCTAGGCCAGCCCTCCTCTCAGTGAGGGAGCAGGGGCCCAGAGAGTGAAGGTTTCAGAACCTGCACAGACACTGGGGTCCCTGGGTGCCCCCCACATCTGTTCCAGCATGGCAGGCACTCAGCCTCCGTGAGGAAGGACAGGACCCTTCTCCACGCGGCCTGTAGGAGTGGGGTGCAGACCCTGGGCTAGGGTGAGGACCGGCAGGCAGGAGTGCCAGGGCAGCGCGTCACAGGAGCCTTTGTTTCCGCCGGGCACAGTCTGCTCCCCATCCCTCCCATCCCCCCCCCCCCCCCCCCCCCGGCCCTTGCCTGAGCCATGCTTGGCCCCATCTGCTCACGGTGCGGTCAGCAGACTTTGGGAGAGGAAACGAGGTGGGTGGTGTGGTGAGGGGGTCAGACAGAGGTGCAGACAGATCGCTGCTCAGCCCTTCGAAGGGGGCGGTGCCGTTCACCCGCTGCACCCTCACCCATAAAGCAGGGCTCAGGGTGCCCGAGCAGGCAATGGAGAGGGCCGCACACAGGCGTTTTCCAGCTGCGCGGGCCATGCACGTTGTGGAGGGAGGGCAGGGGGCTGGGACAGGCTGGCTTCTGAGTCCCTCTTTCCCTTGTTCTCTCTGCAGCCATGTGGACACCAAGGAGCTGTGTGGTAGGTGCCTGGCTAGGCTCTGTAGGGACCAAGCAGAGTGGAGAGTGGGGAACTGGGGAAAGGGAAGGGGGACACAGGTGGGATGGGTGAGAGGGGCAGAATCTTCCTATGACCCCTGACCTGTCTCCCTCCTCCCCCAGATTACTTTGTGGACCACATGGGGGACTATGAGGACGTCCTGGCCTCCCTGGAGACCTTGAATCATTCTGTCCTGAAGGCCATGGGCTACACCAAGAAGGTCAGCAGGTGTGGGTGGCTCCTGGGGGTCCAGGCTTGGTTCCAGATCTTCTCTGGGGCATCCACACCCAGGGGTGCCTGGATGTGTGATGCCAAGTGGGTGGGCCTGGCTGTGGGGTGGGCTTTGCTTGGGGCTCCCCGAGGGAGCCGGGGTGAACTGTGAAGCCAGTAGAGCAGCTCTGTGCACCTGGTCTCGTATCTGGTTGGGAGGGTGAGACCCTTTCCCGGAATCGGGCATGGTCCTGGGAAGGAGCCCTGCCTGGAGAGGGAGCAGCGGGCAGCCCACGCCCTCGGGGCCCTGGGACTAGTTCTCCTGCCCTTCGACAGCAGGGTCCCAAGACGGGAGGGGAAGGGGGGCGGTCCACACATGAGACCTTGCCCGCGGAGTGGAATGGTGTCTGGTATGAGAATGCGTGTCCAGGCCTGAAGCGTGCGCTGGGCGGGGGACCACGAGGGTGCAGGGACTCTCCGTGCGTCCTGGAGGGAGGTCTCTGAAGTGGCTTCAGAGTCTGCCCGCGGCCCTGTCTCCTCATTCACAGTTGTGACCTGGAGGAGGCAGCAGGCAGGGAGAAAAGGCCAGGGTGTGGGCTGGGGGCCACTGCGCCTTCTCCGTGGGAGCTCAGGTGGTGTACGCAGCCCACCTCCAAGCTTCGTTTCCGGCTTGAGTCCGTACCCCACAGGGCTGGCGACTTGCAGAGGGGACAGGTGGGGTGTGTCCTTTCTCTGCACCCACGGAGAAGAGATGCAGTAAACTTCCTGAAGACCTACTATGCCAGGAGTAAATGCTCAGCTGAAACCTCACAGCAACCTAGTGGTCGGTGACTCTCACTTCCCCCATCTCGTTGCTATGGAAACAAAGGCTCAGGAGGGTGAACCCTGCAGAGTCGGAGCCAGACAGCCATACCTGCCATCTGAAATGGGCGGGGAAACTGAGTCAGGGACCTGTCAGGAGGTACAGAGCACAGCATGGGACTTCAGGCCCGCGCAGGGGTGACTGGAGTGTGAGCAGCCAGGAGTAGGGGCGGCCTCTTGGTCACACGGACCAAGGCACGCAGGGAGGGAGCTGGGAGTGGGCCACGCTTTGAGCGACACCTAGACACCCAGGGGCTTGCAGCCACCCATGGGAACTCAGAAAAGGCCAACCCCCTCTGCTGGGTGAAGACAGGGAGGTGGGCTGATAAAGTCAGACTGAAGGACCCAGAGCCAGTCACTTCCCTTTCTGAGCCTCAGTTTCTCTATCTGTGGAAGGGGAGCATTCACTTGGTAGGATCCTTATGAGGACTGAATGAAGTAAAGTCTCTAAGCTGCGAGCATAGGGCCTGGCACAGAGCCAAGGCGATCAGTTCTTATTATTAGGCTCCTGCTGTATGCCCAGGCACAGGTAAGACCACTTCTGTGCATGTTTTCAAATGCTGCTTACTTACTGCGCTGCAGTGCATTAGAGAATCCCTTCCCCCCGCAGCCCAAAATAGCCGAGCCTCACCCTGAGCCCCCACTACCCACATTCCCAGTGCCATGCTGTTTTGAGTCTTGGTGTTTTACAGCCACATTTAATAACATGCAGAACCGACTCCCTTTCATTGTTCATCCTGGTAGACTGCTTGGTGTTTGAAAGTATTGACGTGGGGGGTGGATGACAACAGAGCTTGGGAAGACCCTAGAATCCCAGTCACCCAGACAGGTGTCAGCTCCAGATCTGCTTTATTTCTTTTTTCAATTGATTTTTTTAGAGAGAGAGAGAGAAACATTGATGTGAGAAACATCAATCGACTGCTTCCTGCACGCCCCCTACTGGGGATCGAGCCCACAACCTGACCAGGAATCCAGCTGGGACCTCTCAGTTCATGGGACAACGCCCAATCCACTGAGCCACACCAGCTAGGCCCAGATCTGCTCCTAACAGGCCGTGGGAGGTGCACCATACACCCACCTGGGGCTCCTTGTGATTGGCCACCTCCTGGGGTCTCAGTTTTCTCACCTTTGAGTGGGGCGACTTCTCAGCAATGTTGTTACCATCCGTTGATAACATCCGTAGTTGCTCCTTGGTCTTTGGTCATAACCCTGCAGAGGTGGGCTGAGTCTCCACTCAGGAGAGGGCTTAACAGCCACTGATCCAAGGCGGACCGGTTCGGGGGATTTTATCTCAGAAGTCATGAACTTTTGTTCAGTGCCGCCTTTGGAGCGATTTCAGTGGCAGTGGTGATGGGAGGTTGTTGCCGTGGTGACTGGCATTTCTTCTTCTTGAGTATATTTGTGTTTGGAAATGCAACTCATTATTCCAAGTGTGTTCTCGTGTCCGCTGGTTTTGGTTGACTCGTTGGCTGCTGTTGATGGGCAGTCTGAGCATCAGCTGCGCCGGCTTCGTTTCTGATGTGTTCCTCCTGTTTCTCCCAAATCTTCCGCAGCGTTGACAGTACGACGTCACGCAGCCCTGTCTTGCTTCCAATTTTCAAGTGCGTCTCTCTAGCATTTCCCCATTAATTATAATATTAATACCAGCACTTATTCCAGGATCCTCTTAAGCCCGTTCGGAAATTATTTTTGCATTTCCTTCATTAAATTTCGTCTTTGGAGGTGGTGGTGAATTTTTTTCAAATGCCTTTTTGGGCTTTTAGAAATGATTGTATGAATTTTCTGAAGCTGTTGATGGGGTGGATTCTATTATTAGAGTCTCTCTTATTGAACAGCCCTTAGCTTACTGTGATGAACCCTAACTGGGGAATTATTCTTTTATCACATTGCTGAATCCTGCCACCAGCCGAGCATTTTAGCTCTGTCTCTATCAGGACTTGAGAATCGATGGTAGTTTGGGAATGAATTGTAGGTGGCTTTGCATATTTTCTGTGTGTGAATCAGTTTCTCGAGCAGAACTATTTTTCTGTTCAAAAATAGAATTGATCTATGAGGCTTGGGTCAAAGGTAAACTGAGGAGGGGATTATTTTAATGGTTATGTTAAGGTCCATACTAGTTTTAGTAAAGTTTTTTACTTTTTTTCTTTTTTTTTTTTTTAATCCTCACCCGAGGACATTTTTTCCATTTTTTTTGTTCAGATAGAGTGTGGGAGGGAGAGAGAGAGAGAGAAACATCAACGTGAAAGGGACACGTCGAGTGGCTGCCACCCACACGACCAACCAGGGCCAGGGACAAACTGCAACCGAGGTACGCGCCCTTAGCGGGAACCGAACCCGGGTCTCTCAGGACCGCAGGCCGACGCTCTAACCGCTGAGCCAAACCGGCCAGGGCAAGTTTTTTACTTTTTATGTCCGTTTTAGTCTAGTTTCAAACAAAACTATCATGGACGTGATCTGTTTTATGATCAATTATGTGTTGTACGTTCTTAGGATTAAAAAAAAATCTAAAACGTTGATGTAAAACCAGCACTTAATGCAGATTAAATTCAATAAAAACATCTGCCACAGCTCAGTTCTTGTTTTCATGGTGGTTCTCTTTTACTACATTTTTAAAACTTATATTTAACAGAGTTTGACCCATTTTCATTGGTTGTTTTAATAACTAGCCCCTGACACATTTATTTAAATTTCACCATGTTTTCTATTGTGTTTATAGTTTTTATCATTATTGTTTTCTTTCTCCTGTTTCCTTAGGTTGGTTGTTGGTATTCTTTTTCATATGTGATCTAGAATGCTTAAATTTTTTTATAGTGAAGTTTGAATTTAAACATTTACCTTTCAATGATATTTTCACCACAACCATAGATTTTAATGTTATTCTCTGACAGGCTGTGCCGTTACTCATTTCTTTTTTCGTGGTGTTAGGATAAAACCGAGTGACTGGTAAGGTTTTCATCCTATTTCTTTTTAACATGTTGAGATTTCTTTTTTTTTTTTTTTTACTCCTCCTCTGAGGATATGTTTTTTTATTGATTTGAGACAGAGAGAGAGAGAGAATATTGACCGGTTGCTTCCTATAGGTGCCCTGACTGGAGATCGAACCCACAACCTAGGTATGTGCCCTGATAGGGAATTGAACCCACAACCCTTTGGTGTATGGGACAATGCTCCAACCAGCTGAGCCACCCAGTCAGGGCATGTTGTGATTTCTTCATGACATATTATTTAATTGATTTTTATAAGCATCTCATGGATGCTTGAGAACATGTGGATCATACTTCCAGAATGTGAAGTGTGAAAATAGCTATCCTTTCTTTTTTTATGAAGTTTATACTCTTAAAAGATAACTTTGCAAGAAGGTCAAATCGTGTCTCTTGGACAAATATAAAATGCACCCATGTCCAGGATCTTACTGAACTCATTCATTAATGTGAGAACCAGCGAGATGTTGCAACTGGCTAAAAGGAAAATTAAAAAACCACACGCCATATGTACACAGGCGGCCAGGAGTTCCGCAGTGAATCTGTGACTGCAGAAGTGGTCCCCGGCCACAGGGCAATAATCCGTTCTGCCAGACAAAATTCATATGCATTTCAGTGGATGAGTAGTATTTGTATTATTATCTTTTTTTTTTAACATCTTCAAGTTTTAAAATTAGCTCCAGCACAGGGGAAGATGTAGATAACACAGAGGGTACTAACAAGAAACCCAATAATCTTTTTGCCCATTTTATTTATTTATTTATTTATTTATTTATTTATTTATTTATTTTATTTTTGTTACACGTTTCTCCTTTTTTTTACCCCATTGACACCCTCTTCCCCATCTCCCCCACCCCATCCCCGGCTTTGTTGTCCATGTCCATTGGTTATGCATACATGCATATAAGTTCTGCGGTTTATCTCTTCCCTCTCTTTTTGCCCATTTTAAATGCTTTTATACTTTTCCTGACAATGCCTTTTACATCCCATCTATTTTTGTCTAATTTATGTGTCCTGTGGGACAATGATGAGCTAATTTCTCACACTAAAGTGTGTTTTGTCATTTATCTTTATATTTGAATGTTTTTCCTTTCTATATTTTTAGCCATATTACTTGAGACTTATAGCCCTTTGGTATATTTTTTTATTATATAAATGGTACATATTCAGCATGTACATTTTAGAAAGTAGAGAAAAATATAAAGAAAAATTTCAAGTCATTTCTAATTCCTACTATCCCTAACTATTAACGTTTTAGTTGATTACTTTGAGCCATTTTTGTGTTTTGTTTTCTAAATTTTTTTTCTTTATTAATTTTAGAGAGGAAAGAAGAAGGGGGGAGAGAGAGAAACATCGATGAGAGAGAACGTTGGTTGGCCGCCTCCTGCACGCCCCCTACTGGGGATCAAGCCCACAACCTGGGCGTGTGCCCTAACCTGTACTTGAACCGATGACCTCTTGGTGCACATGTCGACACTCAGCCACTGAGCCACACCTGCCAGGCACCTTTGAGCCATTTTGAATGTGTATTTCTTTAATACAGTATCTAATATTATTCTGTGTACAAAAACTTATTTTCTGCTTCTTTTTTTTTTAACCAAAGAATGTTAACACTTTTCCCCTTAAAACTGTTCGGAAGCATCAGTTTAAATAATCTTAGTTAAATTTACTGACTGTTCCTCTTTTGTTGAGCATACAAGATTTCCAAGTTTTTGCTCTTATGAATATTGGGACATAAATATATAAAAAGTGAAGGACTACTGGGTCAAAGACCATGAGCCGCGCGAGGCTCTCGCTACGAGGCAGAATTGCTTTCTGAAGCGGCGGTACCCCCCTGGGTCCCCCCAGCCACATTTAGCAATATCCTCCTTACTGCACGAAGATTTATTACTGTTTTGTTCTTGTTCTGCATCGTGCCTTTTGTCATTCCGCTCTTAGCCTTCTCGTGGAGTGCTCTCATTTACATTCCACCTGAATAGTGATATTGCAACTTACCCTGTTCGTTTTAGATCTGGCTGCAGAGTCTCCGCACAGACTTTTCATGAATTCTTGGGTTGACAGGTGCCTCCAGCTGGGTCTCGTTTAATCAGGTCTGGGGCTGTGTCTTTACAAGGGGGGACGTAGACCGCTCTTCGTCATTGTTGTAAGCTACGGGGTCTGACTGCTGTCATCATCTCCTAGGCTTCCCATGTTTTTATTCTTCTTTGGCTTGGGCATTTCACCTTCTGATGATCTGCTCTGTGTATAGCATTGATTATGATTTTGAAGGTGAACATTCTAGTTTTATTTCACTAGTGACTTCTAAAACATACATTGTTAACATTTATAATTCTTTAAAAAAATTTTTTTTAATCCTCATCCGGGGATAAACATCAATGTGAGAGAGAAACATTGATCGGCTGCCTCCCATAGGCGCCCCGACTGGGATCCAACCTGGGTGTGTGCCCTGACCGGGAATCGAACCTGCAATCTTTCAGTGTACCAGACGATGCTCCAACCAACCGAGCCACCTGGGCAGGACTGTAATTCTGGTTTTTGTCCTAGCTAATAAAAATGCTTCCTATTCCCTTTTGTGGAATTAGAGAGATTTTTTTTTGAGATGTTTGGTTATTTTTCCAGACTTTCACACTCTTGATTGACTTCATTCAGTGTAATTAAAATGTAATGATTAGTGATTAATGCCGTTACTTCCTGACCTCTGTGACCTCTGTTGCTTCATTTGGGTGATCACCATCACTTCACAACCTCCCTAGTCAAGAATTCCCACTGATTCAACCTGGATGATTGGGGAGAGATTCCCAGGCCTTCTTTGCGGGAAAGGGGCTCATCGGGTACAATTTCATAGATTTGCAGATTTCATCTCCCTATTGCACTGAAAAATGCCTCGATCTGATCCTTTTCCTCCGGAATCTGTGGAACTGGTGTCTCAGCCGAGGCATCGATTGTGGTGGAGGAAAAAATCTGTACCAGAGGCATTTTTACTCCTTTGAAAACAACTTGTCGCCCTGGCCAGTTTGGCTCAGCGGTTGAGCGTCAGCCTGCGGACCAGAGAGTCCCGGATTCAGTTCCCGCTAAGGGCATGTACCACAAAAAAAGAAAGAAAGAAAGAAAGAAAATGACTTGTCTTTGTGGAATTCAGCTACCCAGTTATACTGACCCCGACCAGGCCCTCCCTCAGTCCCTGGTGTGGGTGTCTCTAACCCACTTACTTTAGCTCATTTTTCTGCATGATGGCTTCTAGCAGCCTCGCTCTTTGTGTTTACACTTTTTACCAGGGATCGTCTTGTTTGTTTTTGGCCATCCGCTTGTCCAGGGCCCATCGATCCCTGGATTGAGTGTGAGTTCACTTGTCTGCCAGGAAGGGCGACCTATCAGTGCATCATGTACCTACTGCCACAGACGCACTCTGCCGGGCCTCCCTCGGCGTGCCCAGGACGTCCACCTCCACCCCCGTCTGTGTGTGCGCCTCCTTTCAGCCCCTCTGCACCCCATCCCGCTTCCCCTGCTCCCGGCCTCCATTTCTCCGTCTATCTCTAGCCGTGTTTCCCATCGTGTAATTATTGCTAATTAATTTCCAGTCAGAGTGATGGATGGTTTCATTTGCTTTCCTTGTTTTCCCTTGCCTTGCCGGAGACCGGGCAGAATTCCAAGGTTCCCTGGGGCAGGTGGCTCTGGAAGGTCAGGTCCCGCGGAGGAGGCGGGGGAGCGGCACCGGCTTTTCGGGACCAGCACCTCCCAACTCAGCGTTGTTTTTATTGTTGCCGTCCTTGAGTGACCTGGCTGAGCCAGAGCCTGTCCCTTCCACTGTGAAGCCTTTGCAGCCAAAAGAAACTCTACTGGTTCCAGAAACCTTAAGAAATGTCTTTGCTGCAGTCTCTTAACAAAAGGGGAAATTCTGTCACACCCCTGAGCAAAACTTGTGGAAAACCCTCTTCATCCATCTTTTCCCCACAGTTCTCTCCTCATGGCCTCTGTCTCCCTCCCTGCTTCCCCCAGACCCCCCTCGGCCCTCCCTCTGAGCACTGAGTCTCGGGCACTTTCTTTGGGGAGCCAGTTTAAGCTCTCAGGTGCTTTTGAGTCTCATCTGTCATTTCTCCGAGTGGCAGTGTGAAGGCCCAGGAGAGGAGGTTGTGAGTTCTTGTTCCCTAATACTTTATCTCTGTCAACAACAAGAACAATACCACTAGTCATCATCATTACCACAACCACCCTGTCACCACCCTCACCATTGTCACCATCGTCACCGTCACCATCATTAAAATTGTCACCATCATCACCATCACCATCATGATCATCATCACCACCACCACATCATCATGATCACCAAAACCATCATCACCATCATCATCACCATCACCACCACCACCACATCATCATCACCAACACCATCATCACCAGCAACACCATCATCATCATCATCACCAACACCATATCACTGTTACCACCACCATCACCACCACCACCATCATCATCATCATCATTACCACCACCATCGTCATCATCACCATTACCTCCATCATCATCACCACCATCACCACCATCATCATCACCACCGTCGTCATCATCATCATCACCACCATCATTGCCATTGTCATTATATCACCACCATATCACCGGTTTCACGGTCGTCACCATCACACCATCATCTTTATCATAGCAGCTACTGTTTATTGAGTATTTGCTATGTGACAGGTACTGTACTAACCATCTAATATACATTTTGTCATTTAATCCTCGCTATGACCTTGTAAGGTAGCTACTACAGTCACTACTGGTATCACTATAGAGGACACAGAGCTTAGTGGTGAAACCAGGGTTCAAACCTTGGTCTCTGAGTCCATAGATGCAGAAGGCAGTAGTGGAGTGGGGTTCCCCCTTCCACTGTAAGACAAAGACACCCCAGGTGTCCCCCCAATTCTGTGCCAGCCCCCACACCCAAGTTCCCTCCCCAACCCTTTAACCCTTCGTGTCCCTTTCTCCCTCCACAGGTGTATGAGGGAGGAAGCAACGTGGACCAGTTTGTGACCCGCTTCCTCCTCAAGGAGACAGCCAGTCAGATCCAGTCGCTGCTAAGCTCCGTGGAGAGCGCGGTGGAGGCCATCGAGGAGCAGACCAGCCAGATCCGGTGCGTCCCGGGGCCTTGCAGGGTCCATGGGGCTACGCCGTGCACGGGCCAACTTACTGCTTGGGGTAGGGGTATTTGAGAACTGAGTGACCGTGGGCAAGAGGCCTGGCATGTCAGGGTGACCGTTGGCTGTGGGGTGGGGGTTGGAGTGTGTGTTTTTCAGTTGGTGAGGGGCAGGTCCCAGTCAGATGTGATTGCATCGCTACTCAAGAATACTGTTCCCAAAATGTGTGCGCTGAGCACCCACAGCCAAATTCCCTGGGAAATGCAGATTCCTGGGGCCCCAGCTATACCCGCTGGATTGAGATCCCTGGGAGCTGAACCCGGAGCTCTGCCTCCGTGATCAGTCCTGTGACTCTGAGGGTCCCCAAAGTTAGCCACAGCTCTGGAAGCTGACACTGAGATCTGCTTCCTTTTCTGTCACTACCCTGGTTAAAAACCTGCTGGAGAACAGATCAGACAGCTGCATGATTTTCCTAGCTGATTTCCTGCACTTTCCAGCTCCATCATGTCGCCCCCACATTGAGACCTTACTTTGGGGTGTTGGTGGCAGGGGTGACACGTCTCAGTGGGAGACACATCTGCTCCACACTCACTCCCACCTCAGAATGGCCCCAAATCCCAGCTGTTCCGGCTCCTTTGGGCTGCAAGTCCCTTTGGGTGTCCTATTTCCCGGCCCGGCGATGTCATGTTCCAGGCGCAAGCCAAGCCGCTGGCTCAAACCCCACACCCCAGGGACTCCACTGCCCCCGTTCGCGGTCCGAGGGCCACATTTAATTTGCGGCTGGTTCACGGAGCTGCCGGGATTGACACCTCAGTGCCTGCCAGTCTTTCTGGGGCTGCGGGAAGGCGGGTTTGCCCTGTGCGTGGGGAGCTTGCCGGCGTTCAGGACGCACAAGGCAGCGCCGCCCAGAGGCGGGAGAGCCTGGGGGCCACGCGTGTCGGCTGCACACGGGAGTGTGCGTGTGTTGTATGCGGACACGCGTGTCCGTGCCTGTCTGTATGCCTGTGGTGAGTTTTCCAGCATCTCTCTGCATGTGGGTGTTCAGACATTCACCAAGCATCGGTTGAGTCCCTGCTATTGTGCCAGGCACCGTGTTTGGTGAGCTGCGTGTGCCTGTCAGGCGTGCAGGGGGCTGTGTACGTGTGGGCAGTCAGTGTGCCTGGTGGGGGTGGGGACAGCCGATCAGGCCTGGCTCCTCCCTCCAGGACCCAGCTGAGATCAGGATCTCAGATTTCACTGTCCTGTCATGTGCTTACTCTCAACCATATCTTAAGGTTCCCTTTTGCAGAGAGAGTACAAATCCAGGTCCCCCACCCCTACCGCACAGGGCACCAGATTGACTCCTAGTGAAGCAAGCAGGGCGGAGGAGGGAGGCTGTGAGCCAGTGGGTCGGGGCAGGGACCTGGGCTCAGTCCTAGAATGGGGCTGAGCTCGCATCCCCACTCGGCCCTCTGGCTGCGTGGTCTTGGCCAAGCCGCCTGCCTGTGGGCCTCGTTTTCTCCTGCAGCAAAGGCCACCGTGAGGCCCACTTCACAGGGACGGGCTCCAGGGAGCAAACTGCACGTCTCCGCCCACAGTGGGTGCTCAGCGTCTGTCAAAGCTGCAGAAGTGGTCAGGGCCCTGTGGCCTTCCTCACAGTGTGTGCTTCTCCCACTTGCACTACAGCCAGAACCACAGCAAGCCCGGCCCTGGCGTGGTGCAGACCTGGCATGGAAGCCCCGCTGCCCCCTATGCCCCCAGCCACAAGCTCATGGCCGTGGAACGAGAGAGGAGCATGCCTTCTGGTGAGCGTGCGTGGGGGCCTGGGCGGGGGGCTCGGGGGGGCTCTGGGGGGGGGGGCTGGCCTCTGCGTGGGACTGGAACTGTGAGGGAGGGGCAGGTCTGGGCCCCTGGGGAGGCTGGGAGCTCCCCTCCCCCAGGCCTGGCTCCCAACATCAGTGTCTCTTCCTCTTTCCCCGTCATCTCAGACCCCAAGGAGGAGGGCCTGGAAGCCCAGATCAGCCGCTTGGCAGAGCTAATAGGACGGCTGGAGAGCAAGGTAAGGGTGCTGAGCCCCTCCCTGTCTCCCTCCACTCTCCCCGGCCCCCAGGGAGGGCTGGGTTAGCCTGGGAGTTTGGGACAAAAGTCCGGGAGCCATGGCAAGGCATCACCCAGTGGAGTGTGGAAATAAAGACCACGGTATGGACAGACTCGGAACTGTGTCCCTTGTACAGGCCCAAGGAGAGGTGCCTGGGGGAAGAAGGGGCTGTGAGGGATGGGCAGGCAGCCAGGAGGGCATCTCAGGGAGCAGGTAGTAGGCAGGGGCATCCTGGATGGCAAGAGGACAGGAGCCTGGACAGGGAGAGCCAGGACACAGCACGGGGATGAGGAGGGGTGGGGACGTCCCAAGGAGATCAACAACCTGAATGCCCAGCAGCGTGCAGTCTTTTGAAATACAACAGGGCATGCCCACCGATAATAGAAAACGACCCAGCCTACAGAATCACGTTTTCAGAGACAGGGTCACGACTCAGTAGGTGCTCAATGAAGCTGTGTCAGTTTCCCGGGGCTGCCATCACCCTGTCCACACACAGGCTGGGGCTTAAACGTTTACTCTCCCAGCTCGGGGCTGGAAGTCTAAGGTCAGGGTGTGAGCAGGCTGCTTTCCTCTCAGGCCTCTCTTCTCGGCTTGCAGACGGCTGTCTTCTCCCCACGTCCTCACCTGTGTCCCCTCCGTGTGTCTAGGTCCTGATCTCCTCCTCCTGTGAGGGCACCAGTCAGATTGGATTGGGGCCCACCCCTGTGACCTCATCTTAACTTAAATACCTCTTCAAGGGCCCTATCTCCTGAGGTAGTCACATTCTGAGGTGCAGGGATTGGTCCCTCAGTTTGGGGAAGTCGCAATTCGGCCCATTAACAATGGCTATTTCTTGGAAGAAAGAAAACAGGTTGCCTTAAGGTTTACCAACGGACTCAGGTATCAGACTGCCCTATTTGAATCCTGGCCATACCACGTAACTGCTGTGTGACCTTGGGCCAGTGACTTAACCTCTCTGAGCCTCAGATTCCTCCTCTAACAATAGGGGAAAAAATCAGAATAGTACCCCTCACAGGGTTGTTGTGAGGAGTAGATGAAATGCTGTCTTAATGGTAATGCACAGAGCGTGCTGTGAAGTGAGCATTTAACATTAGCAATGTTAGCAATTATTATTAGACATCCTGGTGCTAAAAACTATACAGATAGATGTGCACACCATACCCATCTACCTACATAAACCAAGTATCTCAGAGCCCTAGGTTGTAGCAATTATACATCTCCCCGACTTTTCTGAATTTCTTACATCTTTTGCAAAAGGGCAACAAAAAAAAGTTCTTTGATGGGTTCAGGGGTTGGTTCTGAGGTATTCATGAGGGCACGGGAGGCCAGAGGGGCAGGGGAAGGCACAGGAGCAAGACGGGGGAGGGGGGGGACACACACGTTAGAGGGGAGATGAGGGAAGCGCCTGCCGGCTGAGGCCCAGGTGGGATCTCTCCCCCTTAGAGAGGGCTGCTGGGTGGCAGCGGTTCTGTGGACCCCGTGGCCCGGTTGTCATAACAACTCCACAGGCGCCCCCAGAGGGAGGCTCTTTGAAGTTTATTTTTAGCGCCCTGGTCGCCTTAACAACCGGCTGGCTGGCAACAGCGGATCACCTGGGTGTCCTGGAGATGGGGCGGGACCCTAGTTGACGGCCTCTGATTGGCCCAAGTGGCGAGCAGGGGCCAATCCAGGGCCAGCTCCAGGCCCTGCCCTCTATGGGTCAACCTGAGCCAGTCCTTGCTGGCCTGGGCCTGGAGGATGGAGTGCTGGGCGGCCAGTCTGGGGGAGAGTAGGTGCCACTGCAGGTCCCCCAGCCTCCCCTCATCCCCATCCTCATCGTCGTGTGGCCTTGCAGCCAGGTCTGTCCTGCCCTCAAGAGCTCACTACGTGGTTGTAAAACAGTGGAAACAGACTTGCCTCGGGGGACACACTGGTCACCTACAAAGCAGGTGCACACTGCCTGTCCTGGAAAAGACATACCCTCAGAACGACCAGCACCAGTGGTGTGATTTACAGGGTCTAGTGGAAAATGAGCATTTACAGCCCCTTGTTCAAACATTAAGAATTTCGAGGTGGCGACTGCACAGATTACAGGCCAACGCATCTGCCAGTCTCTTCCTTTCAAACCAGCATGGGCCACACGCGCTCTGTGAGGGGGAAGACCTGGGTGAGAGATTGTACCAGGGCACAGGCTGTCGGAAGGCGGATGGGTAGGCACAGAGGTGGCATTTATTGGTGCCCAAGTTAAAGGAAGGGGAACCAGGATCCTGTGTCAGGCAGAGAGAGAGACCCCCCCCAAGCTCAAACCCAGGCTCAGCACCGAAACTTGTGGCCTTTGGAGCCCAGGGTTCTCTGCTGACATAGTGACCCCAGCCATGCCTGCGATTCTGGGCCCTGTTCTGGACCCAGACTGTGGTCATAGACCGCGTGCATGGGGTTCTGCTCTCCGAGAGCTTATGTGGGGCAGCACCTACCTCGGTCAGTCTGCAAAGTTAAATAAGAGTATTCATGTGTTTTATTTTAATCTCCTTTTTCTTTATTAATTTTTAGAGAGAGAGGAAGTGAGGGGGGAGAGGGAGATAGAAACATCGATGAGAGAGAACATCGATTGGCCACCTCCTGCCTGCTCCCCACTGAGGATCGGGCCCACAACCTGGGCATGTGCCCTGACCAGGAATCAAACCAGCGACCTCTTGGTGCATGGATTGATGCTCAACCACTGAGCCACACCGTTCGGGCATAAATAAGAGTATTTGTAAAACATTTAGCCCAGGGCCTGTGGAAAACCAGTGAAAACAGACACCCCATTCAGACCATTAGATTCAAGGGGCATCCGGGGCTGAGATTGGGGGTGATTTGTAGGTTAATGGGGAATCTCAGGGCTGTTGCCAGCAGTTATAGCAAACGCCCAGCATCTTGGATTCAGGACTCTTGTCTCTCTGAAGACCCCCCACCCCTGATAAATGGAGTCTCCTTCATGGCTCCTGCAGTAGGTCGGCTTGGTCTCTCTGGCTCCCAGTGCCCCCAGACGCCAGGGCCAGAAGGGATCTCCGCCACTTCCTGTGGTTGGTCTCCCAGCCTGGCTTCCTCAGTCCCTCTGGGCCAGCACTGTGCATGGAGGGTGGACTGAGCCCTCCCAGTGAGGCCTGGCTCCTGGGAGCTCCTACTAGCCTGGGGGATTTCAGGGTCTCTGGGACCTTGGTGTGGAGGGGCTGGAGCTGTGTGGTGGCCCTGAGTACTCTGGTGTCATTGTGACGGTCCCGGGGGCCTCACTGATGGAGGTGGCCTTTGTCTCCAGCATCACTTTATGCTTTGTTGTTTCAGACTCTCTGGTTTGACCTCCAGCAGCGCCTCTCAGATGACGAAGGCACCAACATGGTGAGCCCCCCTCCCCTGAGGCCTCCCTTCCCCTCCTGTGGCCCTGGCCTGCCACCCCATCCCCAGGGGCCACCATGTGGGAGATGGAGCTCCAGCACTTGGTCACCCTCCCCTCCCACGGGTGTTCGTTTAGACACCAGAACTTCAAAAGACTGGCCTCGAACCAAGTGATCAATAGGACAGTGACGTCAAAACACTGGTTCGATCAGAAATGACTTTGGCTGGTCACTGGTTTCGGTGGGACTCCGCCCGGATGCCCTGCAGGCAGCTCTGGACCTCTGCAGAACCTCTTTGAACACCCTTGTCTGTGTTCAGCCTTCGGGGGACAACTGCCCGCATTTGGCTCTTTAAGTTCTTTTTTAGCCAGTGTTTGTGTGTGAGAGTGAGAAGTGTGGTTTCGGTTTTATTTCGACCAAACTGTCCTGTCCTTTCTGGAGGGAGGTCTGGGGAGGCTGGGTCTTGGGCTGTACCCACGGGCCTGGAGGGGGTCCTGCAGGAGCCTGAGGGGCTCGCTCATCTGTGGCCCTACAGCATCTGCAGCTGGTCCGGCAGGAGATGGCCGTGTGCCCCGAGCAGCTGAGTGAGTTCCTGGACTCCCTGCGACAGTACCTGCGGGGCACGGCTGGAGCCAGGAACTGCTTCCAGTGAGTCCGGGACTGGGCTGGGCGTGGTGCGGAGCTCTGCGGGGGCAGGACAGGGCAGGACCACCCGAGGACAGCCCCTGCCCCAGGGAAGCGCCCCAGGATGGTTAGGAGAGCGGGGTTCGGGTTAGCCGAGGCTCCCCCACTGTGCAAACGGGCGAGTGACGTCATCTCCTGACCTCAGCTTCCCCGGCTGTGGAGGGGGAGCACGGCTGGACCCACGCCCTGGGGTTGCTGGAGGCGTAAACGGAACAGCGAAGGTGCCGGGCTTAGGCCGTGCCTGGTGCGCAGTCAGAGTTGCTTGGTGTCGGCTGTACCCTTCCCGTGTGGCTGCCCCTCGATGCCTCACTCTGGGCCCCCTGCTGAGGCCTGCGTTGCTTCTCGTCAAAGCCGAACCAGGGGCCGTGGCCATGTCAGACTGGGCCACTAAAGACAGCCCTCACCCTTGCTGGGGGTGGTCCCAGAGGCAGTTGGCACAGCCGCCGGGCCCTCCCCTCTCCCATCCTGGGCCCCCATCTGTGCTCAGGGCAGTGGCTGGGCCTCTGTGCCATCGCTGCCTCCATTCCCTCCCTCTCCAGTTTGCTTTTTCCACCTGGAGGACACCTGTCCCTGGGGGCCCTGGGGGCCCAGCCCTGAGTCAGGTCCTGCTCTGGCTGAATGCTGATTCTGGGTGGTGCGAGAGGGCGGAGGAGGGGAGAGGATCCAGAGGGGTGACGGGGCTGTGGAGGCCAGGAGGCAGGGCCCTTCGAGACGGAAGGGGCTTTGGGGAGGCAGAGTCTGTACACGCTCTGAGTCCTGAGCATTCGGACCGCAGAGTCCGAGGGAGGGCAGCGTGGGCCGCAGTCAGCTGGTGCCTTGCCTGGGGAGGTCGCAAGGTGCCGTGTTTGAGGTGCAGGTGCTGGTGTGTCTGGGCAGAGTGATGGGGGAGGGAGGGGCGGCGAGGGCCAGGGGTGGCAGGCAGGCCCCAGGCCCCCGTGCCCTGCTTGTTTGGAGAACAGTGGACTGTACTGGAGATGCGTATGCAGGAGGGAGCCAGGCTCTGGTCTCGTGGGTGTGGCAGGGTGGCCAAGGAGAGGCCCTGCGGCCACCCAGGGAGGGCTCGGTGTTGGGGAGACACGGCCAGAGCTGGGATCGTCTGGGAGTTCAGCTAACTGACGACTTGCTGGTGGCGGGAGCAGAGGGTGTGGAAAGAGGAGACAGGGTGGAATCTGAGCTGTTCTGGCTTCAGAAACCCGATCGAGGTTGGTGTCTCATCCACGTGACTGAGGAGTCAGGGAGGTCAGGCGTGTCGGCGTGGGGGAGTCACACAGACCGTTTGGGCCGTGTTAAATTTGAGATGCCAGGTGCCAACGTAGGAGTGCGGAGAGCCCGGGAGAGGTGGGCGTGCAGATGGCACCCAAAGGCTCAGCAGTGGTGCGCTCACTGCGGGGTGCGGGGGGCCCGGGCCGGGTAGGGTGGAACACTGTGGCCTCGCTGCCCCTCCTCGTACACAGCAGCACACAGTAGGGTTCACACTCGGCCCTTCCTGGGCCCCGTGCCTACCTCCTGTCTTCCTGCCCATCCAGAGCCACCCCCCAAAACCAACCCAGTCAGCGCCTGGTCAGCGGAGCACACGCAGTCACCAGACTGCCTCATCCTGCTGCAGTTACCAAACTTAGATGCGCCAACTGCTCCGATGGCCTGTGCCTGCCCCGGAGAGGGAGGCCCACCCGCAGCGCCTTCTGGGCCTGGCAGAGGCCCACGCTGTATCTGATGAGGGGGCGGCTGGTGTCCCCCATCCCCCGTAGCATCACCAGCCCGCCGCTCCACCTGTAGTTCTCGCCGGAGCAGAAGGAACTAGTGATACTCTTTGCAGCCCTGTTGCCTGTTTTTCTATCCTGGTGGCAAAACCTGGACCCACACAGCAGACACCACCCAGGACAGCTCCCCTCCTGGAGGCCTGCCCGGGTTCTGTTCTGCTGAGCGCGTGAGAAGGGGAGCAGCCAAGAGCGCAGGGGGAGGCAGAGGGGCAGCTAGAGACAGTGTGATCTGGGAGGTCAGCCCTCAGTCCCCTGGGTCTGCCGCCTTCACACAGGTAACACAGGAGGGACCTGGACCTGCAGGACCACCGGCCCAGGGCAGCGCCCTCCCTCAGCCTCCTTGGCCAGTTCTGACTCACGGGGTTGTTTTAAGGATTAAGCGAGGTGACGATTATGAAGGAGAACATGAATCTTCGGCCTTGAAAATGATATTTCATTGTAATTCATTCAACAAACATGCGCTGGCCACTGTGGGGGCCAGGCCTTGCTCCGGGGTGGGTGCTAACCCAGCAGACTCGGGGACGGGCTCGTTCCCGTGTGAAAGGATCACGGCCCTGGGCTGGGGACAGACTGGTTGCCTGTCCTTGACACTCCTGGGTGCCCCAGCTTCTGCCAGGCTCACATTTCCAGAGTCTTAGGGTATCCTGTAGCCCTGCTCTGGGGGCACCCTGTCCAGACTCATTTGAGGGCAGTGATGGGGGCAGAAGGGGTGGGGAACCCAGTTCCAGAGCCGGGCAGCCTGCAGGGCAGGCCGGTGGGTGGCCCCGGCTCGCCCAGACTCCGACCTTCCTCTCCTGGCGCAGCATCGCGGCTGGGAGGCTGGCCGATGGCTTCACCTTCGTGGTGTATGAGTTCTGGGAGACAGAGGACGAGTGGAAGAGGTAGGCTCGGCCAGCGGGGCGGTGGGGTGAAGGAGGAGGGGCGCCCCAGCCCTGACAGTGTGAGGGGGCTGAAGGGGAGGAGGGGAGGGTAAACTGAGCCCAGGTTCCAGCAGCATCTACCACCCGGGATGCTGGCCTCCCTGGCCGACGTGTGCCCTTGACCGGGGGGCAGTACTGCTCGGTGTGAGTGTGACCCCTCACCTCACTTAGCCAGCCTCTGAGTCCAGGGCCCTGGGATCTGAAGCTGCGCCTGTTTGAAGACAGCTGCCCCAAGGGATCAAAATCCAGAAAAGCTCTCTCATTAAGGACGCTCACTGGGAAGCAAGAACAGGCTGTTCTGCCCACAAACCTGCCACTCACTCTCGGGGCCCAGCCGTCAGCCTCGCAGGGCCTGACCTTATCTTCACATGACGGCCGAGTCCCAAGGCAGGCTGGCTGGGGTGCAAGCCCCCAGCCCAGGCAGAGCCCCACGAGGATGGACCGCAGCCTGGTAACAGCCCGAGGGCTCACGGCACCCCGCTCTTGCAGGCACCTGCAGAGCCCCGTGTGCAAGGCGTTCCGGCACGTCAAGGTGGACACGCTGAGCCAGCCGGAGGCCCTCTCCAGGATCTCGGTGCCAGGTACAGGGCCGGCGGGAGGAGGGCCCGAACAATAGTGAGGGGCACCAGCTCTGGTTCCCCCAGGAGCTGCAGCTGTCTCCAGGCACAGGGGGTGGAGCTGAAGGAAGGGCAAGGCCCGAATCTCCCACTGACCCTCTATTCTGCTCCCTTAGCTGCCAGGTCTACAGGCCACCAGGGAGAGGTTAGGTGTACAGAGGGTGGCCGACTAGCCCCCAGCATGGAAGGACAGGGCCAGAGCAACAGGAGAGGCGCAGGCACAGGGCCTCAGACAAGGTCACTAGGGAGGCGGGCCCAGAGGCCCAGACAGTGCCCTCCCCCCACATCCACAGCCCACAGAAAGCCCAAAGCCCCTCCCCGCAGGCCAGCTGAGCAGGAGGTGGCCCTGGCTGGAGGAGGGGTGTGCTGGCCCGAGTGCTCCCTGTCTGCCCCTCACTGCAGCCCCAGTGAGACATGGGGAAGGAGCTGCGGGTCCCCAACAACCTTCTCTGCCTAATGCGCCTCTTTCCCTCCTGCCCATCGCTAGCTGCCTGGTGCATGGTGGGCCGAGACTGACCAGCTCCCCAGCTCCCTGAGGATGAGCCGGCACCCTGCCCTCTCTTCTTACAAAGGACGGCCCCTCTTTTCTAGAAACTTTGGTATAGGAGCTGTCTTTTCCATATACTTCCAAACTAAGAATGTATTTTCCCACTGTTTGAAGTGAAGGCGAACCCCTTCCCCGGCACCCCTGCTCCCCCATCCTTGGTGGCAGAGCAGCTCGGAGCTGCTGAAGGCAGAGCCTGCGGTGACGGTGAGGGGAGGCTTCCTGGGGCCAGCACCCTCACCAGTCACCCCCCCAACGGCCACACCTGCCCAGCTCCCCGCCCTACTGGCCTCAGCAAGCCTCACTCCTCCGCAGCCCCCACCTCCCCTCCGTCTCCCCGACTCCTGGTCTACATTCCTCCACCTGGTAGGAGCCAAGGCCCTGTAGTGCCCAACCCAGGCCTGTGCCAAGTCTGCACGTGGCCGTAGAGCCCACACAGCCAGTGCCACGTTAGGCCGCCGGCCGCCAGGACAAGCACCAAATAAAGTCCAGTTGGGACCGGTGGCTGCCGTGTGTGTGTGTGTGTGTGTGTTTCCCCCGTTCCGGCTGGTGCTAGCTGAGCCGTGACGCCATCGGGGGCCTGGGCCCCCTGTTAGCCGCGAACCTGGACCAACTCGCCCCACGCCTCAGTTTCCTTATCTGCAAAACAGAGGTGATAACCATGAGGTGCAGATTCTGACAAATAAGTCTGTGCCTGTTAGAAAGTTCGGGGTCCTCAAGACCACCCTCGGTCTCAGTAATTCACCAGAAGGACTCGTCGACGCCACGATGCTCGTGGTCACGGCTACGCGGCAAAGGTACAGATGAAATCAGCAAAGGGAAGAGGCGGGTGCAGGGGTCAGGGCCAGGAAACACCGGGGGCATGGCCTCCGCTCCCAGCATCAGTGGGTGACGTTTTACAGAGGTTTGCTGACCAGGGAGGCTCACCGGAGCCTCGATGATGAGAGTTTTCCCTGGGGCTGGTCATGTGGACATGGCTGACCTTGACCTCCGGCTCCTCTGAAGGTGGGGCTGATACCACAGACCCAAAGGCCCAGGTGAACAGACTCCTATCAGGAAGGACTTTCCAAAGTCCTAGAGGTCACCTCCCAGGAGACCTCCAGGCACTGTTGATCTTCCTTGCACACCACACCTGGCAGTGAGCTCTTCTCCAGGACAGGACACCAAGACCCCAGACTTGAAATAATGTCTGTCCTACTCGGGAACCTTTGTGACATCCCTGCTTCTGCTTCCCTGTCCTGGTTAGCAGGAAAGACATCGTGCACAGAAATTTCAAGGGGCAAAGGAGAGAGCCATGGGTCCCTCCTAAGCAGAACGGAGGGGCAGATGGGAGACAGGCCCTAAAACAGCATAGCGGTGTGTTGGCCCGGTGGGAGCCATGCAGGCAGGACCGTGGACCCGTCTTTCCGCCTCCTGTCCCAGCCTGGAGCAGCGAGCCTGTGGAACATGTTGTTAAGGCCAGCACACTGCGCCAGGTCTCCGCCCACACTGCCGGCCTGCTCTGGCTGCCTGGAGCCTTGACGCCCCTGCTCTCCGCAGCAGGTCCCTCTGCCTGGGGTCCTGCCACCTCCCAGCCACCTCCTCACAAGGCTCGGGGCCGGCCGCTCATGCAACCCCAGTAAATTGTGAGCTCGTAGGAAAAGTCAAATGCAAATTCAGGCCCCAGCTGTGCATTTCTGAGCCTCTCCCCCTCGTCTGTAAAGTGGGGAGAAGACCCCTACTTTGAAGATCAGGAACTTCCTGGCTCGTGAGGACCCCCTGCGCCGGGTCCTGCTGGCAGCACGAGCAAGCGTAAGAGCTGCCCCCAGCCCGCCTCGCTCTGAAGCTGGTACTGTTCCAGTTGGCTCAGCTATTTAAAAAGTACTATTCACAAGGGCTGAGACTCTTTGGGGTGCAACAGAGGAACACTGCCAGCTGGGCCTGTTACATTTCTGCCACACACCACACCTGCTCACCCGAGCTCTCCCCGCACTGTAGCAGCTGACTGCAGCCCACAAGCGACTTAGAGCATCCTCGATTCTGAGTGGGTGGGAACAGGCTCTGAAGAGAACAAATTTCAACCCTAAAAAGTACGAGTGCTCCCACTGAATGTACACTACAGAGCCAGGCACTTGGAAGGCCCCGTCTCTCTCGGTGCTGCCTACACCATCTTGTGATCAGCAGGTGGGGAACTGGGGACAGAGAGGGCAAGTAACTCACCAGAGGTCACACAGCAAGTGGCACCACTTAATATCCAAACCCGGCGCTATCTGCCCCCAATCCTGCGTCCTGACCCCTGTGCCACACAGCACGGATACGTGGGGAGAAACAGCTCCAGAATAACACGTTAATATCCCAGTCAGCTTCCTGAAGCAGTTAAAGACAGTTACCATGTGACCCAGCAATTCTACTCCTGGGCGTATCTGTAGGTACTATGCCCCAAAGAATGAAAAAGCTGCAATGAAGCAGATGTGCACAGATGTTTATAGCACCGTTCCCAGTGTCCAAAAGGTGGCAACAGCCCGAATGCCTACCAGCTGATGAATGGGGTAACAAAGAGTGCTCTACCCATAGTGGAATACTGCTCAGCCCTGAAAAGGAAGGAAGCCCTGGCACACACCGCAACGTGGGCGAGCCTTGAAAACGTTATCCTGCGTGAAAGGAGCCAGACACAATGGACCACATGTGGGTGAACAGTTACGCCAATAGGGACAGAGAGATTCTTGGTTGCCAGAGCTGGGAGAAGACAGAACAGGGAGTGACAGTTAATGGTTTCTGTGGGGTGATGAAAACGTTTGGGCCAGTGGGAAGGTGCCCCTCAAGGAGACTCAGAGCCCCTGCAGCCTGTGCGGTTCAGAGCAGGAGTCACTTGGCCACGTTCACATTCATTATGAGACACACAGGTCTCTCCACGCGAACACAGGCGTCCCCGCTGACCGGGAACTCGGGCCAGGCCAGGCTCTGTGCCTCGGGCTTTGCAGGTTTATCTCAGTGCGTCCTCATGGCTCTCCTGGGAGGGAGGGGCTGTCCGTAGCTTCGAGTTAGAGGACCTACACCAAGGGTCCAGAAGGAAGAAGGGGAGAGGGAGGCTGCCCACCTGGGGCGGAGGAAGGATGCCCAGGTAAGAAAGCCGAGGCACACTGAGGACAAAGGGCGTTCAGAGGGGACAGGGCTGGCTAAGAAGACACGGCTGTGGCAGCGGCAGGCAGCTGGGATCGTCCGCCGAGAGCCCTGCTGAAGGCCAAGGATGACACTGGGCCCTTCCTTCACTCGGGGGCTGTCAGACTGGAGGGAGCAGTCAGTATGGGGGCAGACAGTCCAGGGGGAGCTCACACCGCCCTGACCAGGGCACAGCAGAGGGGGCCGTGCCAGCGGCGTCCCTGAGCGCCTGGCTTCTGAGCTGTGAGGGCTGGCTGGGGGCTCAGTCCGGGAGGGCCGCCTCTGCATCTCTCCTGGGCACTGACTGCCCTTCCTGGTGTGCGTCCCTGCTTTCCGGTGGGTCAGGGCCGGACGGTCCCCTCGGCTGCTGGGAAGCTCAGTGTCCGCCTGCTAATGTCGACCTAGTTTTTCTGGAGATAAAACTATTGTTTGGCTTCTCCACTGGCCGCTGTAACTACATTACCACCTTCAATCCTCACGGTAAGCCTACACCACACCATTCACAGTAAGCCTGCTCCATTTTGCTGGTGAGAAATTGAATTTTTTTTTAATCCTCACCTGAGGATATGTTTTTATTGATTTTTTAGAGAGAGGAAGGGGCCCTGGCCGGTTTGGCTCAGCAGTTAGAGCGTCGGCCTGCGGTCCAGAGAGACCGGGGTTCGGTTCCCGCTAAGGGCATGTACCTCGGTTGCAGTTTGTCCCCGGCCCTGGTCGGTCGTGCGGGTGGCAACGACTCAATGTGTCCCTTTCACGTCGATGTTTCTCTCTCTCTCTCTCTCCCACTCTATCTGAACAAAATATCAAAAAAAAAAAAAAAAAATAGAGAAAGGAAGGGGGGGAGAGAGAAACATCAATTGGTTGCCTCCCGCATGCTCCCCGACTGGGGCTCGAACCCACAACCCAGGCATGTGCCCTGACCAGGAATCAAACCTGCACCCTTTTGGTGCACAGGACGACGCTCCAACCAACTTAGCCACCGGCCAGGGTGAGAAATGGACTCTCAGAGGAGGTTCGTAAACTTCCCAAATCTTGAGGTGGCAAATGGCAGACCAGTAGTTGACTCCAGCGCCAGCTCTCAGCTGCCTGCTCCGCTGGCCCGGCCCCTACCTTCTCCATGTGCACCTGTGCCTGCCCTGAACGACCCGCCCTCCTGGCCAGCGCCACGGGCACACTGAGGGGCGTCCCGCCCTCCTGGCCAGCGCCAGGGGCACACTGAGGGGCGTCCCGCCCTCCCGGCCAGCGCCACGGGCACACTGAGGGGCGTCCCGCCTTCCCGGCCAGCGCCACGGGCACACTGAGGGGCGTCCCGCCCTCCCGGCCAGCGCCAGGGGCACACTGAGGGGCGTCCCGCCCTCCCGGCCAGCGCCAGGGGCACACTGAGGGGCGTCCCGCCCTCCCGGCCAGCGCCAGGGGCACACTGAGGGGCGTCCCGCCCTCCCGGCCAGCGCCAGGGGCACACTGAGGGGCGTCCCGCCCTCCTGGCCAGCACCACGGGCACACTGAGGAGGGCGACGAGCTGTCTGGCTGCCCCTCCACCACAGCAATCCTGCCCCAACAGGCCGTGCCCGGGAGGACGAGTGGCCACTGAACAGGGTGCGGCAGGTGGAGGTGGGTCCTGTGTCCCCCTCACTGGGTCAGAGCCCACACCTGCAGCCACAGCTTCAGGCCTCCAGCAGCAGCCAGGGTGGAGGCGGCCAGAGGATCCACCCTGCCCGTGGGGTCAGCACACCAGCGCCCACAGCCTTGGCCACTCGAGATGTGCAATGTGAAGTGAGAGGGAATCCAGCTCAAAATCGGCCTGACTCTGACTGTACCTCTCAGGACAGGGCCTTGATTTTTCCAAGCCTGCATCACCTCACCTGTAAAATGGACAAGTCTGAAGAAGCCACCAAAGGCCACATAGTGTGAGTCCATTTACATGAGATGCCCAGAAGAGCCGAACCCCTAGAGACAGAAACAGGTTTTGGGTGGCTGGGTACTCAGAGAGAGGGAGAGGGAGGGGTGCTGGGGAGAGGGAGTGAGGGGGGCTGGGGAGGGAGAGGGAGGGGTGCTGGGGAGGGAGTGAGAGGGGCTGGGGAGAGGGGGTGAGGGAGGGCTGGGGAGAGGTGTGAGGGGGGGCTGGGGAGAGGAGGTGAGGGGGGCTGGGGAGAGGGGGTGAGGAGGGCTGGAGAGGGGGGTGGGGGGGCTGGGGAGAAGGGGTGAGGGGGGCTGGAGAGGGGGTGAGGGGGGGCTGGAGAGAGGGGGTGAGGGGGAACTGGGGAGAGGGGGTGAGGGGGGACTGGGGAGGGGGTGAGGGGGGGCTGGAGAGAGGGGGTGAGGGGGGACTGGGGAGAGGGTTGAGGGAGGGCTGGGAAGAGGGGGAGGGAGGGGGACTGGGGAGAGGGTTGAGGGGGGCTGGGGAGAGGGTTGAGGGGGTCTCCTGATGGGTACAGGGTTCCTTTGAGGGTGTGGAACAGAATGATGTTGGTGACAGCTACACGACTCTGTGCATTGACTAATAGCCACTGAATTATGTGCTTTAAAAGGGTGATGTTTGGGTGTGTGAATTACATCTCAAAGAAAATGCAGGTGCACAAGCTGGAAAAAGCAAATCAACAACGGTCCAGTACCGCCAACCTCCCAAGTCATGCACACATCACAGGACTAACAGAGGACCTGCCCTGAGGGGCCCCGGGGCCATCTGCCTTGGCCCCACGGGCTTCTCTCAGGCGTCCTGAGGGGGGGAAGAGGGGCTTGAACCCTGACATGCAGGAGCCCCTGGGCCTGCGCAAGGTCAGGGCCGGCAGGCAGGGCGACACGGCAGAGATGCACCCTCTGCACCTCCCACCCCTTCTCCCACCCCTGGGTCCCTCATCTGCAGCTGCAGTGTGAGTCCTCACGGCAGAATTGGTCCGGGGTTAGGAGCGACTATGGGCGGACAGTCCACGAGGCTTCCAGGCCCTTCAGGTCCAGCCAGTGGGGAGAAAGGGGCCTGTTCCTCTGAGTACCCCACTGGAGCGTGGGCCAAGGGCAAGGCTGTGTGGCCAGTTCTGGGCATCCGTCTCCTTGGGCATCGCCTGGTCCTGGGCAGGATTTCTGCATTCCCCGTGCTCTGGCCAAGGGCCAGCCTGGGTCCACCTCCATCCCCAGTGGCTGCTACCCAAAATCCCTTTGGGGCTCTCATCCACTGTGCACTACCCTCACTCCATGTCTTTGAATCTGGCGCCCCCTCCAAAGCAGGACTCTCTGGGCCTTAGCCCCAGGAGTTGAACTGCGTACCCCAGAAATATGAAGTTTGTAGGCCTAACCCCCGGAACCTGTGATGGGACCTTATTTGGGGACAGGCTCTTTGCAGACCCTAATTAAGTAACTTAAGATGACGTCATACTGAATTAGGGCAGGCTCTAGTCCAATGACTGCGTCCTTGGAAGGAGAGGGAAGAAGGCCCGGCGAGGTGGAAGCAGAGGCATCTACCAGACAAGGACCCCAGCCCCCCAGCTGGAGGCGGCGGGAAGCATCCTGCCCTGGACCTTCAGAGGGAGCACGGCCCTGCTGGCACCTTGAGCTCTGACTCCTGGCCTCCAGGACTACGTGAGAATCGACGACTGCTGTTTCCAGCCGCTGGTGCGGGGTCATCTGCTGGGGCAGCGCCCGGACCCCAAGGCGCTCCCCTCACCACTGCACCAGAAACACTGAATGAGCAGACGTCCCAGTGAGCAGCCTGAGAAGGCAGAGGTATCAGTTTCTCCGGCATCTTTATGGTGGGATTACACTGGTCTCGCGGCTGGACCAGGGAGCCGCACCAGGGTGGCTGTGGAGGTGCCCCTCCTGCTCAGGCCTGGCCGCCCCTCGCGAGCTCCAGGCCGGCTGCCACGGTGCTCTGCCCGAAGATGAAGGTGCCCAGGAGCACGGACACCACTCCCCAGACCTCCAGGCAGCACCTGCCAATCAACAAGTCCGCGTCAGCACCCGTTCCCTGGGCCTTTGCTCAGCCGAGCCAAGCCCAGCAGAGGCACCGACTGGGAGGAAAGTCATGGTACCCTCCGTTACCTGGGGCGATGGGTTTCTGAAACAACCGGAGAGAAAGTACCCGAGGCCGTTTAGAAAAACCTCCGTCTGTCACTTCATAACCTCATTCCTGCCCAATCTTTTATCAAAGCCAAAGAAATGGGAGGAAGAAGACGAGTTTCAAACTCCCTTTCCATCCCTATTCCTTTTGGGGTGGGGGGATGGAGCCCCCGAAAAGACGGGAGAAGGAGCAAGCTCTAAGTCACACACAATGGCCACAGTGGCGAGGACAGAGCGCCCAGGAGGCAGAGGTGGCAGGGACTGGAGCCCTCCAGGGCCAGGTCTTGAGCTCCCTGACGTAACCAGAAGAGATGGTGCAACAAGGAGACAAGGTGAAAGCGACGATGATAAGATTCCCACATCATGGCAGGGCCGCCACAGGTATTTCTGGCCCCAGTAACAAAGGCCACCAGGGTGTGTTGTCATGGCGAGACCCTCTGGTCAAGCAGCATCTCAGAGCGGCAGCGTGGTGCCTGAACATCACCCTTCTGAAACGGGGGGAGCAGGGGCACATGGCGGGGCTGAGCACTCAGAGCAGCTCTGCTGGACCAGAGGCCCTACAGCAGCTCCAGGACTAAGAACATCCTGAGAGCCCGTCACTAAAACGATTGTGAGCAGGGATCATGGCAGAACAGCAGGACTCCGGGTGCCACGAGAAACAGGCCGTGTAGGGGCCACCAGACCATCGGGGGCCCGCTCTAGGCCCAAGGCAGGTTTAGAGACACCCCAGAAGGGGACCCAGCCGAGCTCGTGCGTTGGGAAGCCGTGCCTGGGGAGTGGGGGACGGAGGCACCAGCCTGCAGGCGGGACCCAAGCCCACGGCTGCTGTAACTTAAGGGCGTCTGTACTGGGCTGAACGGTGGCCCCCAGAATCCACATCTACTTGGAACCTGTGGCTGTGACCTTAGCTGGAAATAGGGTCTCTGTCGGGAAGACCTCAAGTCCACATAAAGCTCCAACCACAGACCACAACCCTCAGAGCCAGAGGGAAAGATGACAGGCCATGGTGCTGAGGGCCTGGGTTCGAGTCCTGGCTCAGATGCCTCTGGCTGTGTGCACAGGGCCCGGCCCTGCGGCCAGCGTCTTCCCCTCTGCAGGACAGGACCTCCACGGCCCCTCCAGCGTTCATGTTCCCCTCACTCAGAGCCCCTTCCATGCCCACGTGGCCGCCCTCACGGGGGACACTTACTTGACTCGTGGTCCTATCGGTTCGGCGCCGATGGCACAGATGAGGCACAGACCTGCGGAGGAGACAGGGTCACCCCGCTCTTCATTATGGGACCAAAAGTGGCCCTGGGCTTGTGAGAGCTGTCAACACCCAGCAGGGACCCAAGGGCCCTGTCCCACCCTGCTTGTGGTGAGGGGGCAGCGGGCGCTGGCTGAGGTCCCAGCTCAACCTCTCCCTGGAAGCTGGGCCTCTCTGAGCCTCAGTCTCCCGGATGACAGGCAGCACAGCTGCACGCAGGTCTCTGTGACGAGATGCTCAGGGCCGTCTGGACTCGGGGCTGACACCTGCACCTGGGGACACCTGGACGAGTTCACCAGCTGGCCGCTGCCATGGTTATCTTTCTCTTCCTTTCTCTCTTTTTTCTTTTTTCTCTGTGTTTTTTTTTTCCTAATAATTCTGCTGTGATTTGAAGCCAGACAGCTCTGCCTAAAGCTCCCCGGCACCTCGCACCCCCTCCCCCCCCCCCCCCGCAAATCTGTCCCCGACAGTCCCGCCCAACACGAGAAACAGCTGGAGCTAATGGCACCACCCAGGACATAGGCACCGACCCCAACTTCACGTGTCTTCAGACCCCAAATGAGCATGGCTGAGGCAGCAGCTGACCAGGAGGCCGAGAGGGGCGCTCTGACCTCCACACTGTCATCTGAGAGCGCTTCCCAGGGCTGGGGCAGGGCGGCTTGGAGTTCGCCCTGAGCACCTGCAGCCCCTCCCGGGCTCCTCCCCACAGCACAGGGTCGTCAAAGGGGATGACAGTGTGGCCCACAGGCCTTGGCCTCCCTGGTTTCCCAGTCCCCATAACGCTCGGGACATTTCGCCATTCACTAGCACAGTTTTCTAAGAAACTGTCAGAAACGGCGGACAAGGTGGGATGGTCTCATGGGGTACCTTTGAACCCTATGAATTTCATGTAACTGAACACATTTCTACATTTCATATCATTGAAAATGTTTTTAAAAAGTAAAATAGGCCCAGGCCGGTGTGGGTCAGTGGTCAGAGCACCAGCTAGCACACTGATGGGTTCGATTTCTGGTCAAAGCATGCGCTTGGGTTGCAGGTTCGATCCCAGCCCGGAGTCCAGGCCCTGGGGGAGGCAGCCGGCCGATGTTTCCCTCTCTCTCTCCACCGCCCTCTTTCCCTTTCATTCTCTAAACATCAGTGGAGTGGGAAGGAGGGCGGTCAATGGGGGAAAAAAGGGGACCACTGTAATGCTTTCAACAATAAAGGTCAATAAATAAAAATAAGTAAATAAAAATCAATGGAAAAAATATCCTCCGGTGAGGATGAACAAAAATAAATAATAAATAGACAGAACAACATCCGCAGCAAGTGGCAGGGGCCGGGCAGTGCTGGGAGGTTTGCCGCCCACTCGCCGTGCCCACCGGGGGCCTCTGGCCTCGGCCCTCCCATCTGCAGACGAACTGACGATGGCGCTCCCATCAGGTACGTACACCAAGGGCAGTGATGCTGAATGAGGGAGGTCCGTGAAGTCCCCGGCCCGTGCCTGGCCGGTAGGCAGGGCTGGGAGTCACCCTCCCGACAGGGCTCCCACCTCCAGGCCGTGACCCCAGCGTGGGAACCCCCTGCTGAAAGGGCAGGGAGGACAAGCAGGCGGGGCCCGGGGAGCAGCACCCACCTGGGAAGATGAAGATGAAGAAGGAACTGATGCCACCGATGATGCCGATGATCTCGCTGAGGTCCGGCAGGAGCAGGGCCATGGCGAGCGTCACGGCGACCCACAGGATGGTCAGCAGCACCCGGACCCCCAGCCCCGAGGGGTCGGCCAGGGCCCTGGGCCCACGCGCCTGGCAGCAGCTCCTCCTCCAGAAGTCCTGCATCACCGACCTGGAGGCCAGGCCAGCACAGGCGCACAGGGGCCCCGGGCTGCAGCCCTTGCACCTGCCTGCCCTCGGCGCCCACGGCCCCTCCCAGCTGCCCAGCTGTCCACACCAGGTGGTCAGTCCATGTCGGACAGCCAACAGCGAGGGGCCAGGTGGAGGGTGGTCGAGGGCGGCTGGAGACCAGCTCCAGTCCTCACACCACAACCTGGTGAGGCCGGGCCAGCTACCTAATTATCTGCCCCCTTCCTCCTCTGTGCAGCAGAGATGACGGCCCCCACGACACACCAGCCGGCAGGGCCTGGCACGCACTCACCCGTGACGAGCAGTGTCCCCACCGAGCCAGCCTCACCTCCCCAGGAAGAGCACAATGGGGTAGACGGTCACAATGGAGACGGCGAAGAGGACTCGGGCGACGATGATGACCCCGTCGTCCCCCGGGTAGGACATCAAGATGTCCGCAGAAACTTCAGTCCCGAAGGTCAGGAAGCCATACACGCCTGGGGGGGAGGGGGGCGGAAGCCGGAGGAGCTCAGAAAGGGCCCCCCCCCACTCTGCCTCCCTGACAGCACCCGGCTCCTACCACCTGGAGGTTTCTGCTAGGAGCTGACAGAGGTTCTGGAAGAGTTCTCTGTTCTGCCATTTCCCAGTCTTTCCTGTCCTCGGCCTACGTGATACTCTGTTCTTCTGACTCAAGACTCCCGCTGGGCAAAACGACCGCTAACCCTTCCTTCGAAGAGCTCACCCGGGGCCTGCGCGGCGTGGGCAGTGGCGGGAAGCACACAGCACTCTGAACGCTGTCAGTGCCTTCCCGCCGGCAGCCCTCCCGACGGTACCCAGAGAGAGCAGCGGGCGGTGCATCCATTTCCCTGATGGGAAAACCAAGACCCAGGGTGTCAACAACGCCAGAATCACGTAGACAACTGGTTACCACTGAACCGGGTCCAGCGCACCAGGGCCCTTGCCTGCAACCCAACGCTGCCTCGGGCATCCTAGTCACCTGCCCTGGCCCGAGACACCCATCTCTGGTCAAGAGCTATGGCTCACTTTGGTCCCATGACCCTGCTGGCCGTGGACCCGAGCCATCTGGAGGTGACTTTCAAAGACCAGGTCCTGGCCCTCCAACCCAGGGATCACAGACGGGCAGGGACCTCCCAGGCCAGGGAGAGGTCATCCAGCAAGTTTCTTGAAACCAGGGTGTCCAAGGCACCTGACACATTCTCTGTAGCCCGAGGGGTCCCAAAGTCAGAGGCCCCAGGGGGCGGATGAAAGAGTGAGCCTCCGGGCTGGAGAAAGGTGCCCAGCCGTCAGCCTGAACCTGGGACCTGGGCTGGGTACGCTCTACGACCTTGGGCACATCACAGCTCCTCTCTGAGCCACACTTCCATCACCTCTGAAGGCCCTTCTGCCTCCGGCACCGGTCTGTGAGCACCCCAATCCACTGAATCCGTGAGGGCCCTTTGTAAAGTGCTACCCGGATGTAACCTACGAAGACCACCATCATCACCATCCCTCAGGCAGCAGCAGGTGCGGGGCACAGAGCAGGGCCTGGAGCTAGCCAGGCCAGGGTTAGGGTCGCAGCTTTGCCCTGTGCAGTTTGGAGACCTTGGCCAACCCATGGAAGTCCTCTGAGTCTCAGTTTCCTCCTCTATGAAATGGGGACTTTCCTATGGGGTGTTAAGGATTTAATGAACAAAGGCACACTGTACGCTCTCTATAAATACTTGTTGTTATTCCCATTTCTCCTGCCAACCCCTACCCAGCTGCTGGGCACTCCAGGCCAGGCCTTACCTGTCAGCGAGTAGACGAGGCAGCAGGCCAGCAGGGACAGCACGGAGACCAGGGCCCAGTGGGACAGGCTCTGGCGGCGCATGCTGCAGTAGACGGAGACAGCAGCTTCATGACACTGGAAGACACAGGCAGGGCTCGGTCGGGGTGGCTGGGCGTTAGACTCACCTAGAACAAGCTAAAAGGTAGAGTCCCAAAATACAGGAAACCACCCAATTGTCCACCAACAGCAAAAGGAATAAGTAAATTGCTAGATATCAACGGAATATTACATGGCGATGAAAAAGGACGGCCACATGACACACCTAAACAACAGAGAACCTCATAGCGCTGTTTTGCAAAGGCAGCCAGACACAAAAGGTTTCCATGTATGTGAAGTTTGCATTACAAGCCAGACAAGCTGGAACAGGGACCGTCCCGTGCCCTGCAGGATGCTGAGCAGCGCCCCTGGCCCTGACCTAGGGAGGGACCTGAAACATCTGCCCCAGTTGTTACAATCAAAACTGTCTCCAGACATTGCCAGGTTTCCCAAGGGAGGGACATAATCGCCCCTAGTTGAGAACCACCACTTATGGTGACAGAAGGCAGAATCGTGGTGTGGGTGGGGTGGATGCCACGCAGTGGAAAATGTCACGAGGGAGTCTTCCGTGGGAGCCGACAGTATTTTATATCCCGACTGGGGTGATGGCCACATGGGAGTACACATGCTTATGATTTACATGTTTCATATGTATGATTATATTGTCATAAAAAATGTAAACATAAAATGCATCCAGCTAACGCCAAGAGCCCACCTGTGATGGGGACTTTGTTTGCCTGGGGCAGGTCCCGGGCAGAGGTGTCTAACCAGCAGCCCCAGAGACCCTGATGCACAGGCAGGGTTGAGAGGCGCCCCTGAATCTGGATATGCCCTTTGGGTTCTGAACCTTCCCAGGCTCCTGGGACAGGGTTCCCACTACTACGTCCACTTCTGAGCAAACCAAACATGCCAACCTACTCCTGTCCACTCTCCAGGACCTTCGAGAACCATGCTCCTCTCTCCCACGGAGCTCAGTCCACCCCTGTCCCTCTGAGCTGCCCCAGGACCTTTTCTTGAGCTCGTTCCTCTCCCTGGGATTCTCTCCTGGTCTGGCCAGCTCCTACTCATCCCTCCGGAAAGCCTCCCAGGCGGGCCAGGCTCCTCCCTCATGTGTCCCCACTCCCTCGATGTGCGCAAGTTTGAGCTTGTGCAGCATCTGGCCATCAGCTCCGTGACAGCAAGGCCCACTTCAGCCTCGCTCACGCCAAGCAGGAAGCCTGGCCCCGGCTGAAGAACACCTCAGGGGTGACTCGTGTACCTGTCCCTTTAAACACCCACCCGGCGACCAGGAGGCTGCCCCACCCAGCACCAGGTTTCCGGGGCTCAGCTGCTTATTAGTCTGACTCAGTGCAAGTCTTGGGTACCAAACAAACTAGCCCAACGCGGTCGCCCCCTCGTGGAGCGCACACTGGGAGGGGCTGGCGGCACCAGCCTAGTCCTGATGGCAGCCGCCCTGGGGGCAGCCAGCCCGGTGAGCTCACACATACCTGTGAGGACAGACGCCCTGGGGCACCAGCGCCTCTCTGGCTTTCTGCCCTGGCTTCTCTGACCTCACAGGAGCCCACTGGCTTGCAGCCCCCGGGGACCCTCCACCAAGGGGCAGGGAGCTCTGTGGATCAATGCCCCCCTCCTGCCTCCCAAACTCAGAAATGGGGAAACGCTTGGGGGTGGCTGCAGGCAGCCCTGTCCTACTTCCTCTGTTGGTCCTCTGACTCCTGGGTCCGTTTCTCTAGGTTCCATGGGAAAAACCGTCCGTCCCGAGGGCGAGCTGCCCGCTGGAACAGCCCGTGGGAGGTGGCTGGGGAGGGCAGGCTCACTCCTCAGGCAGGGCAGAGGCGCACAGACCGGCCGAGGGGTGGAAACAGCCTGGGTGTCCCCAGCTGAGGATGGATAAGCGGACGGCCGTCTACCCCTGCGGTGGAATACGACTCAGCCATAGAAAGGGACGGAGAACTGACGCGCATGACCACACGGATGAACCTCAAGGACACGATGCTGAGTGCGGGAAGCTGTCACCAAGGACCACGCACCGCAGGGTTCCAGTTACATGAACCGTCCGTGGGCGGAGGAAGGGGGGGTGACTGGGAGTAGGCACCAGGTTCTTTGGGGTGATGAAATGGTCGAAAACTCACTGTGGTGATGGTTGCACAGCTCTGTGGACACACCAAACACTACTGAATTTTACACTGCAGAGAGCCGAAATGTAGGCTACATATATCTCAATAAAGCTGTTTTTTTTAAAAAAAAACCAACGCCCAGTTGGTGCAGCTCAGTGGTCGAGCGTCGACCCATGCACCAAGAGGTTGCTGGTTTGACTCCCGGTCAGGGCACATGCCCAGGTTGTGGGCCTGATCCCCAGTGGGGGGCATGCAGGAGGCGACCAATCAATGTTCTCTCTCATCAATGTTTCTCTCTCCCTCTCTCTCTCTTCCTTTCTCTCTAAAAATCAATAAAGGAAAAAAAATTTTTTTAATAAAAACTAATTTAAAAAAAACAACAACAGAAAAGTCCCAACAGAGAAGTCCCAAGCGTGGCCAGAGTGGCTAGGAGCAGAGCCTGCACCCCACCTCTGTGCAGGCTGGTGGGGGTTGCCTTGTTGTTAAATGTGGGGATGGTGTTCGAACCAGGTCAGCGCTCCTGATGAAAAGGCAACCTCCCCTCCCCCACACAGACCCTCCAGGTGCACCCCACTCCTCACCCTACTTCCCATCCTCATCTGTGTCTATCTCCTCCACCTCCCTATCTCTGCCTCTTCAGGCCAGACCCTGGCAGCCCTGCCTCTGGTCTCAGCCCCACCCCCACCCTGCAATTCACATCTTTCCCCAACTCCCCATCCTGCCTCGGTGTCCGTGGCAACCTCAGCCCAGGCCTTGTTGCTAGGAGAATCGGAGGGAACCGAGGCAAAGGTGAGGGGCACTCCGGCAGGCATCGGAAAAGCAGCCCCAGGGCGAGCCCGCCACTCCACGTGGGGCTCAGGCACTGGAGAGAGGGATGGTGCACCACATCCAGACAAGCAGCCGACAGCGACGTCGCTGCTTCAGATCTTTCAAAGTCTTGGGCGTGCAAGAAAACACGTGAGACATTCCTAAGGACGGCTTGCTAAGCCCAGCAGTGATATGATCGGCTCATTTATACGGCAGAGAAATGGGAACGTGTCAGGATTCTTTTTTTTTTTTTCTTTCAAAAATGCTTCTCAAAGAAAAGGCAAGATGAAGAACAGAAACGGGAGCGAGTTGATGGATCAGGGGAGAAGAAACGCCAGTCAGGAAGCTGAGATAGTGTCCCCCCTGAACCACTTTGCCCTGCGGACTTGCCTGCTTTGGGGTGGTTTTGTCATGGGTGTGGTGGGTAGGATTCAGGAGAGAGGGGCAAATCTTTCTTCCTAAAATAAACTCTGAAAGAGTGGAGTCAGCTGCCACCTGCTAGGAGCCTGGAAAACCCGAGAGAGCCCGGAAGGCAGGGAGCAGAGCCCAGGCTCTCCAGTTGGCACCTCCGCACCTGCGGGCACCTGCCTGGCAGCCCCCCGGCACGCTCCTCCGGGGCTCACCTGTGCTGTCCTCTCCAGCCGGCCCGCCTCCCCCACACTTTCTTCAAGGTGCCTTTCAGACGCCAGTGCCTGAAAAGGGGTGGCTCTGACCTGCCCACCAGGGGTTATCAGAAGCCCCTCGCTGGACTGCACACACCGACGTTCTCACGCCGTGACTTTCCTGCAGGAGTTTCGTGGACTCTGCCCTGTACCTGCCCCAAGCTACCTGCACCCTTCCAGGCTCCCTTGCTTCCAGACCTCCCGGGGCGGGACCTTTCCTCTCCGTGGCCCCTGGGGGATGTCCACCAGGTGTTCTGCATGAGAAGTGGCAGCCCTAGGTGTCCCGGCGCAGGAGGATTCTGCAGAGCGAGGGGCAGGTGCCGACTCCCCACACTCTGCCCTGGACCCAACAGATACATCACTGCTGTCGGTTGCCAGTGGGGGCCGGGTTCCCAAGTTCAACAGCAATTCACACCTCACTGAGCCCAGATTCCAACACACACGGACGGTCTCCGGAAGACAGCCGGCCCATCACATCCTACAACAAGTCTTCACACCTCCTTCCTGCCAGGGAGGCCACACTCGCCCAAGGGAGCGGGCGTCACCACCGCCTGCAGATGCCACGGTCCACAGCACAGACACTAAGATTACCTGAAATCCGAAGCAGATGGTGGGGAAGACACTAAATGCGGAGGTCCAGGAGGGAGGGCTGCAAAGAGACGAGGGCAGGTGTTTACTACACAGAGGTAAAGCCCAACAACCTGCAACGTGAAGGTGGGTTTCAAACAATACCAGGAAAGTCTAAGCGTGCCTATAAAAAATATATATTATATATATATAAAATATCTATCTATATGTATCTATCTATCTATTTATAATCCTCACCCAAGGATCATTTTTCCATTGATTTTCAGAGTGGAAAGGAGAGAGAATGGGAGGGTTGAGAGGGAGGGAGAGAGGAGAAGGGGGGGGGGGAACAGCGATGTGAGAGAGAGACATCGATTGGCTGCCTCCTGCACAACCCCGACCAGGGTAGGGGATTGAACCTGTAACCCCGGTGCGTGCCCTTGACCGGGAATCGAACCCGAGAACCTCTGGTCCACGGGCTGACGCTCTCATCACAGAGACAGCCGGCCAGGGCGGTAGAACATATTTTCAGCGACTGCGTCCACTGCCAGGTTTGGGGAGACGGGAGGAGATGCGTGTTCAGTGCTGCTCTTTCTAATTACATCTACGCTGACATTTTGGTAACGACACTCTCTGTGCAGACTGACTTGGAAAGGGCATGGCTAGCAGGAACTCCCAGCCTCCCTCTGAGGCTGCCTGCTCCCAACGAGGTTAGGGGCTGGGGAGACAGGCAGCACCCATCCAGCAGACCCCGACAGTGCAGGGATGGTGTGACCTCTGCCCGAGCTGCCTACAGGGGCTGAGCTGTGCGTGGGGCGGAATTTCAGGTGGGCGGCCCTCCGGCTTCCTCTGACCAGCAGCTCTGGGTGCCAGCATCCGGCACCTTTGGCGACGTCTGGTGAAGTGGGGTGTAAACAACACCCGCTACAGAATCGGGGTTTCCTGGTTGTGCCAGAACAACGGCCCCCAAAGAGGTCATGTCTTACTCCCAGGAACCCGCTCATATGTGAGCAGACATGGCCAAGGGACTCTGTCATTCAGGGGGAGGGCTCGGAGGCCGGAGAGATTATCCGGGATTATCGGGGCCCAGCACATCACGTGAATCCTGCAGGCAGAGAACCTGCCCCGAGCAGGCAGAGGGAGCGGTGAGGGAGGGGGTGAGAGGGAAGGTCAGAGAGAAGGAATGTTCCTGGCTTTGAAGATGGAGGCAGGGCGCTGAGGCAGGAATGTGGGTGTCCCCTCGAAGATGGGAAAGGCCAGGAAACAGATTCTTGCCTAGAGTTTCCCAAAGGAACAACGCCGCCCTGCCCACACCTCGATGTGGCCCAGTGAGACCCTTCCAGAACCGTGGGACAGCGACTGCTGTTTTGAGCCTGAGTTGGTGGCCGTCTGTCACAGCTGCCACAGGACCGGACACAGAGTCTCCCGCTCTGTGGTGCGCACTGGCCAGACTCGACTCCAGATGGTGTCCCTGACTGTCCGCAACAGCACCGCCACCTGATGCCAGGCTGCCTATTCACAGCCGGGAGCCCAGTGCCCGTGTCTGCCCTGCTCCAGCCTCAGGCCCTGCTCCAGCCTCAGGCCCGTCCCAGCACAGGACCCCCCCCCCCTGGAGGCTGTAGCTCAGCAGGGGGTCTGGCCCTCTCCTCATTGGCTTTTCTTCTCTAAGAGGGCCCATCAGCATAACCCCTGCTGGGACCTCTGTCCCCTCTCAGCTCCTGCCCTTTCCACCCCGCCCCTCCTCAGAACTTCCTCCTGCCTCTTTCCCTCCCTCTTGAGCCCAATCCACGGGGCGTCACCCCCTCTCCTGCCTCGACCAGGTAACATCACCAGCAGCCTCCAAATCACTGTCCCAGGCTCAGTCCCACGACACCCGGGATCAGCATTTGGCAACGATCACACCAACCTTCCTGAAATTGTGTTCACTGCACCTGAGACCACCTCCTATTATCCTCTGTCCTGGTTGAACAGTGTCCCCCCCAATTTACATCCTCCAGGAACCCCAGGATGAAGCCTCATCTGGAAATAGGGTCTCTGCAGACGTAATCAGTTAAATTGAGATGAGGTCCTGGAGGAGGAGGCTGGGCGCTAATGCCACGCACGACTAGCGTCCTTACAGGAAGAGAAAACGGACTCCCAGAGAGAGCCGTGTGCCCACGGAAGCAGAGACTGTCTGGAGGTGTGTCCGTCCTTCAGCCAGGATCACGGGCAACTACCAGGAGCTCAAAGAGGCAGGAAGGATCCTTCCCTAGAACCTGCAGAGGGAGCTCGGCCCTGTTCACCCCTTGACTTCGGACTACTGGCCTCCAGAACCGAGCGGACAAGTCTCTGTTGTGTGCAGCCGCCAGGGTGTGGTCCTTTGTCCCAGCAGCTCCAGGAAGCTCACTGACTCCTGACTCCTGACTCCCCGCCCCCCCCCCCCCCCCCCCCCCCCGCCGCCCTCCTCCTGTGACCGCCCAGTGCCAGACAGTGCTGTGGTGCCCAGTCCAGTCCTCACCAGGCTCCTGGCTTTAAATGCCATCTCTGGACTGACACCCACCCCATTTCTCCCTCCAGCCCAGGCCTCTCCCCGAACTCCAGACACACGGGTCTGACAAGCCACCTGGTGCCTTCACTGAGATGTTTCAAAGCCGACTCCAACTTTGCACCCCACACCGCCCTCCTCTGCCGGCCACCTGCCCCTGCCTGTCTTACCCACCCGAGGAAATGGTCCCGGTGCTCAGGCCACAGCTCAGATTCACCCTGGACTCCCCCTCTCCCTTCCATGTCCAACCTGTCAGCAGGAGGGGCCGCCTAATGTGCGTGGCGCAGCGCAAGGCGCATCTGCCCACCCTTGCTCGGCAACGACGCAGAACGCTGGGATGGCCCGGCCGGTGTGGCTGGGTGGATGAGCGCTGACCCATGTCCCAGGAGGTCACCAGTTCGATTCCTGGCCAGGGCACATGCACAGATCCCCAGTGGGGGGCATGCAGGAGGTGGCCAATCAATGTTCTCTCTCATCGATGTTTCTATCTCTCGCTCCCTCTCCCTTCCTCTCTCTCTAAAATCAATTAAGAAAAATGTATTTTTTTAAATATAAAGAGCGTTGGGATGGTGACAGCTGGCGTTAAACCAAGTGCGAGGCTTTTCTGAGCACAGGGCCCTGGGTGACCTCATAGGTCACATGCCTATGAGCTGGCCTGTCACCGGCAGATCTAATTTCAAGCCCCTGCTGTGCTCAAAACCCTGCAGTGGCTGCTCAGCCAAAGCAAAGTCCCCACTGCGGCTCTGCGCCCCCACCGGCCCCCAGTCCCGAGTGGCCTTGCTCACACTGGTGGGGCCACAATGACCTCTGTCACCCGCTCCCTCTGCCCAGGTACCAGCATCTTGCCGGCCAGTCCTGCGGCCTCCAAACTACGAGGACACTTCTGCAAAAGCCTGGGAGCCCCAGGGTGGTATGGTGCTCAGTGTCTGTGTCCCTTGGCCTGTCCCTGATCCTTGCGAACAGCAGCAGTGTCTGTTCTGAAGGAGGGAAGGGGCCTTCGCTGGGCCCTGGGGCATCAGAGATGCCAAAGATTTCAGAGAGGAGCAGGGGCTCTGTGCAAACCGGGGGGGAGCAGTGCCCTTCCTTCAGGACCCCTGCAGCACCCCGGAAGCCATGGAAGGTCACCCCCTCAGACTCACCTGAGTGCAGGGCGGGGCTCCCGAGCGAGGCCCTGGGGCCCGAGGTAGTACTGCACCATGATGACCAGGGCCAGGTAGCAGGCGGCCAGGGTGCCTAGGATGCTAACACACAGACGACGCGTGAACACACACACGAGTGGGGTCTGACTGTCAGCTCTGCCCACGCCAGCGAGGCGTCGGGCCAAGTTCTTGCCCCCCTGAGCTTTGGTTTCCTCATCTGCATGATGGGGCAGCGGGAAGACGGTTCCCGGAAGGGCTGTTCTCAGGCCGGTGCAGTTCCTACCCAGGCCGGCACCCGGTCTCCCCAACAGCCACACAGCATCTGGGTCAGGACACCGACTGTGGAGGAGGCGGACCCCTGGCTCAGCCGGGTGTGACAGGGACTGGAGAGCTGGGGGCACGCGGGGGCTCGGGGCCCTGCCCACTGTTCCTCTGCTTCCACGGTGCAAAGCCCACTGCTGCTCTGAACACAGCAGGGAAACGGGTTGCCAGCCTCAACTTTCTCAGAAATATGCGTAAGGTCACAGACCACACACTGGAGAGGGCTGTGTGTCTGCCTCTGTGCCTGCGCGTGTACGTGTGGGCGGATCGTCGGCAAGAATTAAATAAAACCGCAGTGGCAGGGTACGCCATGAGGGTGGTTCTCTTTCCTGCTCCGCTATATTTTCTACACACTACTACGTTACTTGTATCATTTTGACCCCCTGCCCCCGCCCCGCCTCGCACTTTCTCCAAACGAGAAGGCCAATGCTAACAGCTCGGAGGGGGACAGAAATTCCCCCGCAAACACCTACCCCGGTGGGGACCCAGGGAAAGCCGCTGCCGGGCCGGAAGCCTCTGCAGCCCCGTACCTCGTGAATTTCTGGAACCCGATCTCCTTCGGGGCCGACAGGGGCAGGATGACCAGCACGGAGAGCAGGGTCAAGGTGAAGCGCTGGTCGGCGTACCAGGGTGGCGGGGCCGGCAGAGCGCCGGGCAGCAGGGAGTCACACACTGGGGGGGGGGGGGGGGCAGAGAGAGGGGCTGCTGTGAGCCCTGCACGGCTCTCAGCCCAGGGAGGGTTCACCACGGGCACCAAGTCAGCCCTGGGATGGGACCAGCGTGATGGGGACCCTGTCACGTGCCAGCATGAAGGAGGGAATCTGGCCGCGGGGATTCATTCGACAGATGCCCCCCCGAGCTCCTTCCGCCAGCCGGGCACTGTTCTGAGTGCTGGGGCCCAGCCACCGGCGAGGCAGACGACCTGGCCTTGGGGCACCCGGGTCCTCAGCTCTTGTAAAAGACCCTTTTGTTTCCACTCAGGAGCTCGGTGGGCGTGTGGGGTCTAGCTGGGGCTGCAGTGGCTTTTTGGTGTGGGCGCTGGGCAGAGCCCCTGTTCTCTGTCACTGCTGCACAGCAAACGACCCCAAAGTGGCTTATCTGGCACGAACAGGACGTGAGGTACTGGGCAGGGCTGAGCTGGCCACTTCTGCTCCGCAGGGGACCGGTGGCAGTCACTCGGTGTATCTGGCTGGAGGGTCCCCGATGGCTCTCCCCACACCAGGTGTCTGGTGGGGACACCTGGGCCTTCCTGCAGTCTTGGGGCCTCTCCCACCTGGACCTCCCCGCCCAGCAGCCTCGTCCATGGCAGCTGGGGCTCCCAGAGGCCCAGGAGGAAACTGCCCGTCCTCTTAAAGGCCAGGCCTGGAACTGGCCTGGTGTCACATGTGCCACATCCACAGGGCCCACCCGGACCCAGGGGAGGCACAGACCCCACCAACCTCTCCGTGGACGGAACACCCCAGTACCTGGGGCTGTTTTATTCCGTGACAGCAAGATGGAGAATTTTGGGTTGGTATCAAAGGCAGGACGGATGCAGGAGGGGAAAGCGAAGGGGAGAGGCGGGAGGGGAGAGCGGAGGGGAGAGGCGGGAGGGGAGAGCGGAGGGGAGAGGCGGGAGGGGAGAGCGGAGGGGAGAGGCGGGAGGGGAGAGGTGGAGGGGAAAGGCGGGAGGGGAGAGGCGGGAGGGGAGAGCGGAGGGGAGAGGCGGAAGGGGAGAGCAAAGAGGAGATGGGGGAGAGAAGGGGAGAGGCGGGAGGGGAGAGCAAAGAGGAGATGGGGGAGAGAAGGGGAGAGGCGGGAGGGGAGAGCGGAGGGGAGAGGCGGGAGGGGAGAGCGGAGGGGAGAGGGGGAGGGGAGAGCGAAGGGGAGAGGCGGGAGGGGAGAGCGGAGGGGAGAGGCGGGGAGGGGGAGGGAGCAAGAGGGGAGGGAGAGGGGGAGGGGAGAGGGGAGGGGAGGCGGGAGGGGAGAGGCGGGAGGGAGAGCGGGAGGGGAGAGGGAGGGAGAGGCGGGAGGGGAGAGGTGGGGGGCGATGGCGGAGGGAGAAGCGGAGAGGAGAGGCAGGAGGGGAGAGGAGAGGCGGAGGGGGAGAGGGGAGGGGAGACGGCGGGAGGGGAGAGCGGGAGGGGAGGGCGGTGAGGGGAGAGCGGAGGGGAGAGACGGAGGGGAGGAGAGTGGAGGGGAGAAGGGGGGGGGAGAGGCGGGGAGGGAGAGCGGAGGGGAGAGCGGAGGGGAGAGCGGAGGGGAGAGGCGGAGGGGAGAGGCGGGAGGGGAGAGCGGAGGGGAGAGGCGGAGGGGAGAGCGGAGGGGAGAGTGGAGGGGAGAGGCGGGAGGGGAGAGCAAAGAGGAGATGGGGGAGAGAAGGGGAGAGGCGGGAGGGGAGAGCGGAGGGGAGAGGCGGGGGGGATGGGAGCCGAGCGGCGGGAAAAGAGGCGGGAGGGAGAGGAGGGGAGAGGCGGGAGGGGAGAGGCGGAGGGGAGAGCGGAGGGGAGAGTGGAGGGGAGAGGCGGGAGGGGAGAGCGGAGGGGAGAGGCGGGGTGGGGGAGAGGGGGAGGGGAGAGGCGGGAGGGGGAGAGCGGGAGGGGAGAGCGGGAGGGGAGAGGGGGAGGGGAGCGAGCGAGAGGGGAGGGCGGGAGGGAGAGCGGGGGGAGCGGAGGGAGGGGGAGAGCGGAGGGAGAGGCGGAGGGGAGAGGCGGGAGGGGAGAGCGGAGGGGAGAGGGGGAGGGGAGAGCGAAGGGGAGAGGCGGGAGGGGGAGGCGAAGGGGAGGGGAGAGGAGGGGAGAGGCGGACGGGGAGAGCCGGAGGGGGAGAGGCGGGGGGGGGGGAGAGGGAGGGGAGAGGCGGGCGGGGAGAGCGAAGGGGAGAGGCGGGAGGGGAGAGCGGAGGGGAGAGGCGGGAGGGGGAGAGCGGAGGGGAGAGGCGGGAGGGGAGAGCGGAGGGGAGAGGCGGGAGGGGAGAGCGGAGGGGAGAGGCGGAGGGGAGAGCGCAGGGGAGAGGTGGAGGGGAGAGCGGAGGGGAGAGGCGGGAGGGGAGAGCGGAGGAAGAGGCGGGAGGGAAGAGCGGAGGGGAGAGGCGGAGGGGAGAGCGGAGGGGAGAGGCGGGAGGGGAGAGCGGAGGGGAGAGGCGGGAGGGGAGAGCAGAGGGGAGAAACGGAGGGGAGAGGCGGGAGGGGAGAGCGGAGGGGAGAGGCGGAGGGGAGAGCGGAGGGGAGAGGCGGGAGGGGAGAGCGGAGGGAAGAGGCGGGAGGGGAGAGCGGAGGGGAGAGGCGGAGGGGAGAGCGGAGGGGAAAGGCGGGAGGGGAGAGCGGAGGGGAGAAACGGAGGGGAGAGGCGGGAGGGGAGAGCGGAGGGAAGAGGTGGGAGGGGAGAGCGGAGGGGAGAGGCGGGAGGGGAGAGCGGAGGGGAGAAGCGGAGAGGAGAGGCGGAGGGGAGAGCGGAGGGGAGAGGCGGAGGGGAGAGCGGAGGGGAGAGGCGGGAGGGGAGAGCAGAGGGGAGAAATGGAGGGGAGAGGCGGGAGGGGAGAGCGGAGGGGAGAGGCGGGAGGGGAGAGCGGAGGGGAGAGGCGGGAGGGGAGAGCGGAGGGGAGAGCGGAGGGGAGAGGCGGAGGGGAGAGTGAAGGGAAGAGGCGGGAGGGGAGAGCAGAGGGGAGAAGCGGAGGGGAGAGCAGAGGGGAGAGCGGAGGGGAGAGGCGGGGGAGGGGGGTGGAGAGTGAAGGGGAGATGCAGGGATGCAGGGTGGCTTGAGGCTGGAACCCTGGGGGTGAGGCAGCCCCCGCACCCGGAGCAGCGGCTGAGGGCTGAGCACTTGCACTGCCTTCTCTTTGTTCTCACCAAAGGCTCAGTCAAGCCAGCCACGCAAAGGACTACATGCCTGGGGAATGGCTTGTTTCTGCTGAAATGACACAGGGACAGTTCCACATGGAGGTCACTGTGCTGTGCAGAGGCGCCCACGTGGGAGCGGGCAGCAGGCGCTCCGGGCCAGAGACGCCAGGAGAAGGCACACACCACAGCCCCCGAGGTCCCGGTGTGTGTCGGAGCCCGCGTGGTGTGGGAGGCGGCGCAAGCCCGTCTCTCCCTCTGGGTCTCCTGTGACCGGAGCTCTGACTTCAGGGCTCCCCCAGCTCCTTCCTGAACCCGCCCTTTCTAGGACAGTCCTCCAGGTGCTCGGCACCAGTCACTTACAGTCGACTCATCTGTCCCCAGTACATGCCGTGACTTTCCCACCCTCTGTTTAGTCCTCCTCCGAGAAGCCAGGACTTGCCTACAGAAAGACACATCCGCAAAGACCTAACCGAACACATGAGCAATGCCCTCTCCTCCCCGGGCGACCCCCAGACCAGGGCGGCCTCCATCCAACCAATGCTCCGATCACCCCGGACACTACTACTGAACCCCCACACAGCGGCCAGGGGGCCAGGGGGTCACTGACATGACCTCGCTTTGGCACTTGGAAACAGGGCACTTTGAACCCATTTACCCAGCACAGGTTCAGATCTACCGGCCTCGATGCCATTTGGGATAAGAGTGCCACCTTTCATTTCAGTGCCCTGCCCAGGGGCCTTTTCGTCCAGGGTTCACATGACAGAACAAACCAAAGAAACAGCAACACGGCGGAGGGAAGTCTAACGACGTCAGTAATTAATTCCAATGGGCAGTCTGTCTGAGAGCATCCCGATAATAAAGCACGACCTGACCCTATGCTATCGACAAAGAATGCACTTTGAAACGCAAGCCACAGCCCCGGCGGGTGTGGCTCAGTGGTTGAGCATGGACCCATGCACCAGGAGGTTGCCAGTTCGATTCCAGGTCAGGGCACAGGGCCAAATCCCCAGTGGGGACATGCAGGAGGCGGCCTGAGTGCCTGGACTGCAGCGGGGGAGGCAGCCCGAGGCCTGGACTGCAGCGGGGGAGGCGGCCCGAGGCCTGGACTGCAGCGGGGGAGGCGGCCCGAGGCCTGGACTCCAGCGGGGGAGGCGGCAGGAGGCCTGGACTGCAGCGGGGGAGGCGGCCCGAGGCCTGGACTCCAGCGGGGGAGGCGGCCCGAGGCCTGGACTCCAGCGGGGGAGGCGGCCCGAGGCCTGGACTGACAGTCGAGAAGGGCGAGTTAATGACAGTTTTACCAGAGACAGAAAGGGGTATATCATAATAATAAAAGGGTAATTCGTGGGTGTGTGCCTAATGAGAGAGCTTCCAAAACCATGAGGCAAAAATCAACAGAGTTAAAGAGAGAAATACATCACTCTGTAGAGGAAGATTTTAACCTCCTTTCTCAGACCCATAGAATAACTAGACCAAAAAGTCAGCAAGACTACAGAAGACCTGATCAAAGCCGTGGACCACCTTGACCTCGTGGAGAGTCCAGAACACTGCAACAACAGCTGTCAAAGAGAATTCTCTTAAGAGAATGTGAAATGCTCACCAACACAGAACATGTTGGGGGCCCACAGACAAGTCTCAAATGCCAAAAAATGGAAAACACAGCATGTGACCAATTAAGGTAGAAACCAAAGAGAGAGCTTAAAAAAACTCCCAAATTAGAAACCAAACCACATGATGCTAAACATCCCGTGAGTCAAAGAAAGAAATCATCACAGCAAAATTTAACAAATGTTTTGAATGAAACAAAAATGAAAATAGAACATATGCAAATTGTTGGGCTGCCGCAAAGACCGTGCTTAGAGAACTGTTAGTGGGGAACTGGAGGTGCACAGAGTTTAGTCTCCAGCACCCCCAAACTCAAGGTGTTACTGGTTCTCTCTCACAGGGGCGTCTTTGCAGCGGACCCCCCTGGACATCCCAGCCATGGCCGCCCCCCACCCCGCCATGACTCTCACTGTGCTGGGAATGACTAATTCCAAGTCTCCCTTCCCCAGGACATTAGGAGCTCAGGGGTGGTCTTGGTCTCTGCTGCCCCCCAGGGCCCAGCTCAGCGTCCATGTCCTGTTCATCAACCAGGACCACAGGGGACATGGAAGGAGCACCACCCCGGGCCACCCCACCTCTAGCACAGGTACTCACGCTTCTCCAGCTGGTCCCCGATCACCCTGAGGAAGGCCACGGAGATCATGAGCAGGTTGACGATGAAGCAGGCCTCACACAGCCTCCCGACGGCAGGTCCGCACAGCCCTCCAACCACGCCCTGGTAGGTGGCCTGGCCACTGACGGAGGCAGCATAGCCCAGGATGACCAGCCCGCTGATCAGGAAGACCAAGGAGACCTGCAGAGCAGGACTGTGGGCCAGGGTGCTCCCACAGGCCACCACCCTGGCCAGCTGCCCCTGGGGACTTCGTGCTCCCCCCACCGGGCCTCTCGCCTGCAGAGGTCTCAGCTGCCTGTGGCCTGGGGCGCTACCCCTACCCCAGAGCCGCAGAGCAGGTGGATCGCCAAGACCTCACTGGCTGTCAGTCTGTTTATCTGGGATTCGTACCATTCTGCCCAGATGGACAAATGAGGCACCAGACACCCAGAGTTCAAATGACTGCTAAAATACACCGGCTGCGGGCACACCACAGGTACCTCTATCAAGATACAGAACATTCTGCTGCACCCCTGTCCCCTTCTGGACATTTCCTGCCCCCATCCTGTCCCTTCACATCTGGCTCCTTCCAGTGTCGTGTTTGTGAGACCCAGCCGTGCTGGATGCGTCGCCGTTACTCCTAATTTTGCCGAGTGCCACTCCGCTGTTCGGATCTAGTCACAGCTGCTTCATCCAGCCTGCTGGTGCCAGACATCTGGGATGTTCTTCCTCTCTGGCTACTACGAACACAGTGCCGATCACGCTAGAACAGCTCCTTTTGAGGACGTACGTTCTGTCCTCCCGGACACACACTCGGGAGAATAGCTGGATCACAGGGTAGACGCATTTTTAACTCTGAAAGTTGCCAAACTGCTTTCCAAAGTGTCTGTGCCACTGGACACCCCCATCGACGCATGGGAACCGCACTTGCTGCGCGGAGCTAAGTAATTTTCAGCCTCTCCAGGACCGATGGCTGTCTGCCTCCAAACTGAACTTGGTCTCCAGGCCTCAGCCCCCTGCCACAGCTCTGGGGAAGACGGCAATGCATGTGCCGGGACAGGCTCAGCCAAGACCCCTGGGGAGCTAGGCCGGCTGTCTACAGACGCACCTCATGCCTCTGGACAAGCAGATTTGCTCTGTCTTAGTCCAGAAGCCACAACTACGGCTGCTGAGGAGAAGCATCTAATTGAACTGTGGGAGAGGAACTTGAAACTGAGCCAGAAGGAAGACACAGCTCCCTCCGGCCACCGAACCTTTGCCCATGCCTGGAACGCCCTCCCACCTCCACCACATCCCCTCGCCTGGCGACTCCTAATCTTCCCCCCTCCTCTCCAAGGTCAGTTCCTCCAGAAAGTCTCTCTGACACTTCACCCCAGGGCGGACTCGGGCCCCCATCTCCGGCCCTGGTAGAACCATGCCTTTTTGGGTGCACTGGGCCTGCGTGGGTGAGTGGCTGTCCCCAGAGGACAAGTCCACCTCCTCACCTCCAGAGCCTGTGCAAGTGACTGACTGGGCAGTCTCTGCAGCTGTAATGAAATGAACAGGGTCTCTGCAGGTGTAATTAAGGACCCGGAGATGAGGTCATCCTGGACTGTCCCGGTGACCCTGAAATCCAGTGACAATGCCTTATAAGAGACAAGAGAGACACAAAGAGGAGAAGGCTCTGTAATGATGGAACAGAGGCTGGAGCGACGCGGCCACAAGCCAAGGGCTGCCTGGGGCTGCCAGGAGCTGGAAGAGGCGGAAGGATCCTGCCCTAGAGCCTCCAGAGGGCGCAGAGCCCGGCCGACACCGATTTCAGACTGTGTCCAGGACTGTGAGCAGGTACATTTCTGCTGTTTTAAGCCACTCAGTTTGTGGTCCTTGGTCTAGCAGCCCAAGGACACACCCTTACAGCTGAACGTTTATTACAGGCTCTCCAACGTCTCACCCACAGGCTCTGTGAGGGCTGGGACCGTGTCTTTTTTTGTGCTTACCATTTAGCCCCGAGAAGTGCCTGACACGTAGCGGGGCACTAGGTATTTGTGGGCAAAGGGAAGGGAGGCGGGGACAGAGGGAGCCTCTGCCAGTGAGGCGCTTGCAAGAGGGGCCCTAACAGGTCGGCAAAGAGCCCTTACTGCCCCTGCCCAGGCTCCGCCTCTCTGCAGCTTCTAAGAGAGGGTCATGGTTCATTAAATGTCAGTAATCCTCCAATGCTCACGGGGTCATGAGAGACCTACAACCTCACACCACTGACCTCCTGGTGGTGGGGACGTTTCAATGCTCCCCGGTCTGAGTCGGCCCCCTGTAAAGGGGACAGGGCAGAAGTCCTGCTGGCTAAGAGGGCAGTGTACCCATTCCCAGCCCGATTCCTTCCCTTGTCCCGGGTTTCCATTTATGCATGTCTTTAGACCACACTGCACAATGTTCAAGCCATACCAGAGCGGCCACCAGGAGCTCGTCAGAAATGCAGTCTCAGCCCTACCAGCCATGCTGAGTCAGCACCTGCATTTCGGCAAGGCGCCCAGGATGCGCACAAGAGTGAGGAGGGGGCCATGGCTCTGCCTCACAGCCCTGCCTGCCCCCCGGAACGGGCCCTCTGTGCCCGACCACGCCCCTCCCTGCAGCCTGTCACTGACTCTTGTGGCTGGAGAGGCAGCTTCTCCCTCGCTGTGAGTGGGCAGCCTTTTCTGCCGCATGCATCCAAGCACAGCCACACTGCCCCTCTCGTGCCCCTGGACAAGTTCTTCCATTTCCACTGGGGCTCAGCTCGAGGTCACCTCCTCAGAGAGGCCTTCTCGGACCACCCGTCGTGTTGCCCCAGCCCTCTGTCATGTGACCCCCCCCAACACTACCCACCATTTGAAAATTATTTGACTTCCTGTCTGCAGCCCCGTGGCCTACAATCAGAAAGGGACCCCTATCGGCTGGTCAAAGAGCTCACCACAGAACACGGGCTCCTCTCAGCCAGGAAAAGGGATCTTTGCAAATACAATAGAGCTGCCCTCATCGGTGGTTCTCTGCTAAGGATGCTCAGCCCCCCGACTGCCCGGGAAGGGCCTTCAGGCTCGAATGCAGCCCGAGAAGAGGCTGGTGACAGCAGAGGGCCTAGCCCAGCTTGGGGGGGTGCCACAGCCCCTCCAAGTCCTGACCTGATCTGCACACGGACTGAAGCTCTAGTTATGGGCCTGAGAGCAGCAGGCAAGGGAAGTCAACTGGCCAGGCAGCTGCTCGGAGACCACGTGGTCTCAGTGCTTCCCCAGCTGAAATGTCAAGTTCACTGGATCCAGGGGTTGTGCCAAGGCCCTCCCGGCCCTGGGCAGATGGAGGATATTCTCCGCCCAGGCCTACAGTTCTCTTCTCCCCTCATGAGCTCAGCAGGCAGAAACCAAACCCCGCAGATGTGGTTTCTAAGACAGGCAGCTCTGCAGACCCCCGGCTGAGGATCCTGCCCCAGGAGACCCCCAAGAGGCCCCCCAGGGGCTTACCAGCTCGATCAGGAAGGCGGGGGCCACCCCGCCAGCTCTGTGGAAAGCCCAGGGGAAGTTGAGCAGGCCGGCCCCCAGCGCAGACTTCAGGAGGATGAACACAGCACCCAGTGAGGACAGACCAGGGCTGGCGGTCGCCGGCTTTTCCGAAAGGCCTCTGCTTCCAGGGGTCTGTCCCTCCATGGCTAGGACAGCGGAGGGGTGGAGAGGGGGGACAGTCTGCAGCCTTCGCACTCCCTTCCAGTTCACGGCCAGGATCATTTCCTGTCGTCGGCTGCGACAGGTCTCTCCCGCTGCCAGGAACCTGTCTCACCTTCCCCAAGCTGCCGCCCCCTCTTCCTGCACCTCTGCCCCCTCTGCCTTACACACTCACCGGCCCATCACTTCTGGTCCTGCTTTCCACCTCAAGAAATGTCCCTACCTCCCCCCGTCCAGCTTCTTACCCGTCATCCTCATTCCTGCCTCCCCACTCCACCCAAGGCCGAACCCCTGCCCCCTTCTCTTCCAAACTCCACCTCCTCTCTGCCCATCACTGCCCTGGCCCCTCCACGCCCACCACCCCTCTGACGGCCCTCGTCCTTACCACCAAGTGCAAACTTCAAGGTGAGAGACAGTCCTTGGCCACCACAAGGGACAGGGGCTCAGGCTCGCTCCAGGGGGTTCAGATGCATTTCTTGGGCCCCGAGGGGTAGAAGAGGGAAGATTCTAGCTCTGCCGGGCTGAGGATTGAGTCATGAATTAAGGGAGCCCTAAAGAGCATGTGTTTGGGTCATGTCCCAAAACGTAGGGGAACAGGGACATGAAGTCAGGGCCATCTGTCCCTAGAACTTGCAGCTGCTGAGACTTCTGGCCTGAGAGTCTTAAGACTCCCTCCCCTCCCCACCCCCAGCACAGGCCCCTCCTCTGGGGAAGGAGAGTGAGTTCAGCTGGGAGAGATCAGGGGGCACCTGATCTCATGCAGTGACAGCCTGTTTCTCCAGCGCCTCCTCCGCCACGCCTTTCTGAGACCCCGTCTGAGGGAGGGGGTGGAAGAGCTCGGAGCTCCGTGTCTGTCACCAGTTAGCAGCGATCTCCCCAAGCCAGGTTTGCCATCTGCACCAAGCGGTCCGTATGCCCGCCGTGCGGGGGCTGCAGACCGAGGCACGCCGAGGCCCAGGCAGCCAGCAGTGCTTCATGGAGCAGCGCCCTCCCGCCCTGGGGGACGTGCACAGAGCCACCTGGGGGTCTCGTTCCAGCAAAGACTGCCATTGTTCCACCCTGAGAGGAGTCGCGACTCCGCCTTTCTCACGAGTGCTGCTGGTCCCTGGCCCACGCGGACAGAGACCGCAATCCAACCATGTACGTTGTCAACTAAGTGGCAGAGCATGAGCAGTGGTCTTGTCCCGGAAAGCGCAGGCCAGGAAGGTCAGACCTTGAGTTCAGAGGCGAGCCTGTATCCCTGGCACCCAGGCGCAAAGCCCTTGAGAATGTGTTAAAAAACAGACTGTTGCCCAGGCCAGTTTGCTCCGTGGTTAGAGCGTCGGCCCGTGGACCAGAGAGTCCCAGGTTTGGTTCCAGCTAAGGGCACGTACCTCGGTTGCTGTTCGTCCCCAGTCCCGGTTGGGGTCATGCAGGTGGCAATCAGTCAATGTGTCTCTCTCACATTGATGTTTCTCCCTCTCCCTCTGGCTCTATCTGAAGATAAATGCAAAAATGTCTCCAGGTGAGGATTAAAAAAAAAATAGATTGTGGGGCCCCATCCCTAGCGTTTCTGATTCAGTGGGTCTGAGAATCACCTTTTCCAATCAGCTGCCAGATGGTGCGGATGCTGCTGGGCCGGGGACCCCACTTTGAGAACCGCTGCCTTATGTTACACATTTTCTTTTTTAATCCTCACCTGAGGATGGCAGGATGAATACACAGACTCCAGAAACGAGAAAAAAAAAAAAAAGGCGCCTGGTTTCCTGCCGTGTTAATCTCCTAAATCTGCCACCACAAATTATCACAAACTGGGGGCTTAAAACAACAGAAATTTAGCCCAGCTGGTATGGCTCAGTGACTGAGTGTCGACCCATGCACCAAGAGGTCGCTGGTTCAATTCCCGGGCAGGGCACATGCCCAGGTTGTGGGCCCCATCCCCAGTGGGGGGCATGCAGGAGGCGGCCAGTCAATGTTCTCTCTCATCAATGTTTCTCTCTCTCTCCTCTTTCTTCTCCTCTAAAATCAATAAAGAAAAAATATTAAAAAAAAAAACACACAGAAATTTATTCTCACTGGTCTGGAGGCTGGAAGTCCAAGGTCGAGGCGTCGGCAGGGACACACTCCCACCAGAGGCCCCAAGGGAGGGCCCTTCCTGTCCTCCTGCTTCTGGAGCTCCGTGTGTTTCTTAGCTTGTGGCCACACACTCCAGTCTCTGCCTGTCCCCACGAGGCCTTCTCCGTGTGCTTGTGCCCTCTCCTTTCCTTACAAGGCCAGGGGTCACTGGATTTAGGCCCCCTCGGATATTCCTGGATGGTCTCATCTCGACATCCTTAATCACACCTGCAAAGACCCTTTTTCTAAATAAGATCACATTGACAGGCTCTGGGGCACAAACCTATCTTACAGGGGTCACCATTCAGCAAGCACACTGCCGCCCACCTATCTGGGGTCTGCTTCTGTTCTCCATCGTTCAGTCGTTCGACAGACGGACTGGCTGAGCACCTACTGCACGCCAGGCCCTGGGGACTCGGAGAGTGGACCATGAGGCTCCAGGAGGGAGGAAGCCTGGAGGAGCTGCTTGGAGGAGGTGCCAGGAGCTGTGATGTCTATGCATTTATGGTGACAGGTGGCTGGGGAAGACATGAGGGGAGTGGTTGGCCCCTGGTGGAAGGCTCAGCCTGGGGGATGAGCGATGTTCCCAGGGTTGGGGTTCCCAGGGTGGACACCCAGACTGGGGCAGCTGGGAAAGGCCTTTCTGAGGCTGGGGTGGGGCACGGCGGGGAGGAAGAGGCTGAGGGGCAGCAGGTGGAGCCCGCAGGCAGCCAGGTGGGTGTAGGCTCTCCTGGCTTTTCCAGTGCAACCCCCCATCTGCTTTCTCCCCAAAGCCGCGGGGCAGGGAGAAAGCAGCAGGCTTTGTACTTCTTAATCTCAGCTCCCAGCTCCCTGCCCCTGCCTGGTCCTTCATTAGCTGCCCATTAACGCGCATGACTTAGAAATTGGCCACTGGGCTGTGAAATTCCACTCAATGGGAAAATGTCTTAACTCTGAGGGGCTTTGATATGCTCTCTGCCAGCATCCCAGGGCTGGTGACCTTTCCCTAGCCGCAGAGAGGCGCCGTGCGGGGCCCATCTGTGTGGGCAGCAGGCACGCGGATACACAGGAAGGCAGCGAGGTGGCACACGGGTGCCCTCGAGGGTGAGGCGGGTGGCGGCTTAGCCCAGCGCCCGCATTCTGGAGCCGTCTCCCTTCTGGGTCACCTTACCAAACGAGCAGCTGTCACCAAGGGCTGTTCCCCGCGGTCCCTCCTTTCCTACTCCGGAGTATGGCTCTCAAGACAGGTTAGGAAGTTCTAGGAGAAAATGAAGTATGGTAGGAAGTTCGAGAAGACAGATGAGGGCCTGGGACTGAATGGTGACCTCGTCACTCACTCACGGATCTGGGCCTTGCTGGAGTCACCTGTGAAATGGGGAGATAACAGCTGCTACCCTACAACACTGTTAGGGGGTTCGGTGAGAACGTGCTCAGGCCCAGAAGTGAGGAGGGCAGTCGCTGTTGTTGAAACAAGGGCACATCAAATTCACCTCTGGTACTTCTGTGTTCCCCGCGGCCGATTCTGAGCTCTGGAGCAGCGTTCTGACCCACGGAACTCTCCCCGCTGCCGATGCCGGACCCATCCTCGGGGCTGCAGGTGAACTTGGTCTGGGGCCACCGGGCTTCGCCGTCTGTGAAGCTCCCAGGAGGCTCAGTGCTGTGGAGACCGCAGCTCTGAGCCGGCAGGGACGTCTGACCCCTGCCCCTGAGCCCACAGCCCCCTCGTCTCCTTGCAACTTTCCGCCCGGGCCTGGCTCATGAAGTCGCCTTCAGAAAATGCTGGGTGGCGTGAACCAGATGCCGAAGGGGTAAAGCCTCAAGGTCTTAGATGACAGGAGGTGTGGACTTGGAAAGGCAACTCCACCTGTGGCCGTTCACCAGGAGGGACCCAAATCCTCCTGCCAGAAACAGGTGACAGACAGCTCAGGGACAGAGAAACCCAGCCTGGTCAGCTGGACAATGGCCCCTAAAGTTGTCCTCGGCCTAAAGGCGTGGCCAATGGGGCTTTGCAAATGACAGTAAGTTAGAGATCTTGAGATGGGGCGAGCATCCTGGATGATCCGAGTGGTACCAAATGCGATCAGTGTCCTTAAACAGGGATGCAGGAGAGGTCAGAGAGAAGGTGACGTGATAAAAGCAGAGGGTGGGGTGATAATAAAGGAAGGGGTCACGGACCACGGGGGTTGGGAGACCTCTAGAAGCTGAAGGAAACCCGATCTCCCCTGGAGCCTCCAGAGGGGCACAGCCCTGCTGACACACCATCTCAGCCCAGGGAGTTTGTGGACTTCCAACCTCTAGAACTGTAGGAGAATAAATGTGTTGTCTTATGCCAGGAATCTGTGCTGATTTGTCTCAGCAGCAACAGGAAACTGATACCCCAGCCCCCCGAGTTCTGATGGTTGGAGCCCCACGGGCCGCCACCCGGGGACTCGACAGCAGGGGTCTCTTCTGCAGAGTCCAGTCCAGAGACTCCGGGTGAGACACGGCCCACGGGCACGGGCCTTGCCAAGTGCTGCCGTCCCCCCGTAAGGAAGGGTTGGTGCCAGAGTTTGATCCAAGTCCTGCTCTGGGTGAAGGAAGAGGAACTGCACGGGGAAGGAAAAGGAAGTGTCTCCAAAGCCGCAATGCTGACCTTGCTCCTGCCCACTGCACCCTAAGGAGGACACACCATGGAGGTTTCAGCAGCCGGGACAGAGGCTGACCACAGGTCCCTCGGAGGACCGGCTGGAGCATGGAGCCCCTCCAGGGGCTTCCTCACCTGGGTCCTGACTCCCCACCTCTCCCCGGCTCCAAGCCAGGGATTCCCACCTTGTCGGTTCACAAGATTCCCCTGGGCAAATTTGGTGGTAAAATTCATACAACATAAAATTCACCATTTTAAACCACTTTAAAGTGGACAGTTCAGTGGCATTTAGTACATGCACCATGTTGTGTAACCATCACCACTATCCGCTTCCAGAACACTGTCATCACCCCAAAAGGAAACCCAACATCCACAGCTAACCCTCCTCTTCCCCCCTCCCCCAGCCCTAAGCAACCACGGACATGTCTGTTCTCACAGACGGACTCAAACCCGGCGTGGTCTTCTGTGTCTGGCTCCTTTGACTCAGCATATTTCCAACCTGGTCCATTTTACAGGGGAGCTCAGCAGACACAGTGTGATGGTCGCTGGGCAAGGTCCCCAGCGGCAGGGCCTGTCTTGTTCCCTCAGGGTCACTGTGCGTGGGGCCTGCTCCTGGAAGAGCACGAGATGGACAGGTGCACGTGCAGGGAAGGCCTCGGACCCGAGCGTCCCTTACACGGAGGAGCTGCAGCAGTGCCTTCAAGCTTTCTGCAGCCAGAGCCCCGCCTAACCTCCCGGGCAGAGTTTAGGGATGAGTCCCAGGGCCCAGCCTCCACGTCTGTCCCCTCTTGGTCCCCCAGGGCTCTCCTGGTCTGTCTGGGATTGTGATGGGTTGGTTGCTTACTTTTGGTTTTTGAAGATGCAATTGTTCACCAGGACAAGGAGAGTTCTCGCCAGGAGGAAAGGTCCCCTCGAAGCAGGGAGTTGGCCTGGCCTGGGCGC